CATAGTTTTCATTCTTAATTATACTACATTTTTTTCTACCAAATTACATTCTTTTTGTTTGAAGTTGGATAAAAATCTTGGTAATTTTCATGTCTAACCCATTCATATATATATATATATATATATATGTGTGTGTGTGTGTGTGTATTTATATACATGTATACAAGAGATTCAAAATGTAGGTTTTTAACCAAGCTAGAAAACAATTTCTGATGATAAACACAATCTCAAAAATACTTTTAAAATCTTCTATGCTAAATAGAAGATGATTAACCATTACAAAGATTTTTTGATTTTTTTAAAATCAGATTTTTTTTGTTGTAATGGAATTCTTGCATTAATTCCCCATATAAAACAATTTTAAAGCAAGTGATTGCAAAAAGGTGATTCAAGAATTGATGTCTACAATTCAACTACTATTCTTCCATTAGATTACAAAGAAGTAGCAAATATCCCTCCAAGAGTTATAAAATCCAATCTAATCTCTTGGTTTTGGTGACTAAGGACCTATATTAAGTATGTTTTATAATGTCAAGATGTATGTATTTTTTGAAGTGGTTTTAAGACACATTGTTATCTTCTTTCATTGGAAATTTTGTTTTGGTTCCTTCAAAACTCATAGTTCTCACATCTTCCAAATCTTATACATTGTGTATACATTGCATGATTTTTATTTTATTTTATTTTATTTATTTATTTTGTGTGATTTTTATACTTTTGTTGAATTGACACTGACTCCAACACATAGGTGGTTTGAATCCCACTTAAGCAGTGTAATTTATTTCATAGATAGATTGCAAACAATCCAAGGTTCAATGTCTACATGATTGTTTTTTTTACCTTTTATTTATATATATATATATATATATGTATATGTAATTTTTTTGTTTGAGAGAATGCCCAGAGTTAAATACTGCAATGCCTTATTTTACATCCAGAAAATGGTATGTTTAAGAATTCACCTGTTTCAAGGTGAAGAGAAGCAGCTTTATGCTGTGAATGTTGTTGTTATTATAATTATTATTGTTATTATTTTCATTTTTATTGATTTAATTTTCTTAAATCCTGTAGCATTTGTACTGGATGAAAGGGGGGTGAAAGCAGGTCAGAATTTATCCATGAAGCACATGATCCCTGCAGAATGTGCAACAGAGTTCCCACAACACAGACACACACACAAAAAAAGGGTACCTGTCTCCCCTGGTACAATGTGGGTTATAAGACCATTGTCATCAAATGACCCTCTTGAATTAGTTATATAACTACCAAAATACAAACACACAGTGGTAGTATTTGTTTGGAATGGATATCACATCACAAGAATTGTGCTCCACAACTGGACTGCAACAAGGACTCTGTCACTGCAACCCTAGACCCACTCAAACCCATGAACTCAAAGACATGTGACAGTGGTGCTGCACATACTTCAATAGATATTTCATCAATTGTGCATGAACCTTATTGCAAAATAAAGAGAGAAAGAAGGGAAGGGGCGATGATACATTTGGAAGGGGAAAGAGAAGAAAAAGAGAAGTGGAGTTGGTACTGCACAATCCTCATGGTGGGTGTGCCTATGTAGCTCTTTTGTGCCTTATTTGTGCCCAAAAGCCAAGACAACCAAATGGAACAATACCCTTCATACAATGCCACCTCATCACTACTTCAGGATGACGCTGAATGAAAAGGGCCCCATATTCACAAGGGAAATTTTCTCCCTTCCCTTTATCAGCCACAATGTTTTGAAGATAACAATATTGTATCCTTCAATCATCACAAGCATGAAAGATGAATCTACCTTGAAAGGACACATTGTATTGATTTATTTATTTATTTATTTTTTTCCTTCATGTTTTCTCTTGTTATGCTTTATTTTGTTTATTTTTTTATTCTATATTCTTTATTTTCACCCTTCTTTTATTCAAGAAAGTGGGGTTTAATGTGATTTATAAGCTCACTGTACTAAAACCTGGAAGGAGAATAAAAACACACTAAGAAAGATTATGAGTGTAAATGACTGGATATATATATGTATGTATGTATATATATGATGTGTTTGGATTCATTGTTTGAATTGTGGAGATTGTGTTTTTAAGTTTGGTTTTCAAGAAGAAAGAAATGAAAACCATTGTACTTCAAATAAACAACAATTCTAAACCATGTTGTGTGTGATGATTGAATCTCATTACAATCTGCATGTTTTTTGTCATAGTTTTTCTTTTTCTTCACCTCTCTTGAAATGTTCAATGTTGTGAAACATAATATTAAAATAAAGATCAATTCTACTCACATGACCCTCACTTTGATGGTTGATGTTTGTGTAGCAGTTATGTAACACTGTTTTTAGTGATGGTATGGACAGCTTTTGTACATCAAATCAATTCACTTTGGCTTTTAGAAAAATCAAAGGGGTACAAATTTATTCATAACTGGTATTCTGGTGTTGTTTGGTTGAGCTGATTTTGTCAATTGGACATAAACACATAGCTAAAGTCATTGAACAAAAACCCTCCTTGAAAACAACCAAATAATAATATCAATGATAACACCATTCCTATCTACGAAGAACTTAACTATGCAGAATTATCTGTATTGTCACATATCTTCTGAACATCATATCAAATCATATATATGTATTCATTCCTATGACCAATAGAGTGTTTGATTGTGCACAAATATATATACATATAGATACTGTTTAGATTGTCAAGTCTCACACTACAGATATTATGGAGCCACTGAAATGAAAGGCAGCATGCAAGTAACCATGAAGAATTTGAATGTGAATTAGGGGAGTGATACAAGAGGCCAGAGGAGGATGTCCTTGAGGAAGATACATACAAAGCCAATAGCAAAACAAAGTGCATGTGGGAACCAAGGTTGATATCTCTCTCTCTCTCTCAGACAAAGTGCAAAAAGGATTTTATGGAAACTGGCTCCACCAGTGATCAGACCTGTTCCAGCCAAAGAATTCCCCTTTTCACTTTATTTATTTGTTTGTTTATTTACTTTCCCTTTCTGTTGTATTCCTTTAAATTTGGGCTAGAGCAGTTTCATGTGGAACATGTAGTCGGAATCTGCTACCAGCATATTCTCCTGTGTGGCCTATGCGCACAGACCTATGTTCACATCCATCCACATCCATCCACAAAGTGTGTTTTCTGTCATATGGACCACCTTCAAGCCCCATTCGCACATGTCCTTTAGGGTAGAAAAAGATAAAGATAAAGATAAAAAAGAAACCACAAATGTATATTATTCCACTCCAATTTCCTTCTCTTTTTGTGGAGGTGGGTTTTCAACTTTTCACTTTGCCCCATTCACATTTCCAGTGTTAATATTTTGAAATTTTCCCTTAACTTTCTCTGCCTTTCTCTTGTTACAAACTTATGCTTTTTTTTGTGCAGGCTTTCTGGCACTCTTTTGTGTTGCTGCAATGGTGTACTCTTCTAGAATGCAATGCAGCTAGTGTCCATATACATCACACCTGCAAATGAATAAGAGGGCCTCTTACGTTCAGATGAGTAGAGCCAGGGCCTAAACTTTGAAATCTTTTCACTGGGTGAAAATCAAAATTGAAATTTCAACAAACCAGGGTGTTTAAAATAAGACCCACGTTTCTATTAAGAAAACATGAATAATTTTTTGCTTTCCTTCTTTCACAGTAGAATCATGCAGTTTTAGTGGAATCCTAACATTTTTGTGCAGCTCCTTACTTAGCTAAAAGTGACCTGAATCATTTGACAATTAAATTGTTTTGTTTCGTTTTTTGTTTTTGTTCTTTTGGATTAAAAGGGGTGCAAGAATAGATGGGTCTGCGGGCACTGAAATCCACATGGCAAGAATCCAGGGGCAGGAGGGGGGGGGGAAGTTCCCTTGAGTATTCAAATGGAATAAGACAAAACAGAAGAAGGAAGAAGGAGACAAAGTGTGTGTGTACCCTGTAATCAAATCTTGAGCCCCTTCGTCAGGATTCTGGATAAAGCAAAATCATCTTTCCCAACTGTACACTAATTGAGCTTCCCACTGTTATTTATTCCTGCAGCATTCATATTTGTAAATTTGCATGATGACAACTATTCTAGCCGGAGAGAAAAAAATGACAAATAAAATCATGAATGGGTGTCACGTTTTAAAAACCAGGGATCACTTGGGTGGGACCTCTTGGCATGGATTGTTGGTCACTCTAAAAATTATTGAGGTGTGAATGTACATCATTTAACAACTCTGAGGTGTTGTTCATATTCATTTAAAAAAATAAAGAACCAAAAGATAAAAATCCATATGTTGATATTTTGTTCTATTCCCGAAAGATCTGTACTATTTTTATAATGTTTGATCGTGAATATCTTTAGTCAACTTCATTGTGGATAAGTCTGATGGTAACAAAAGATAGATGACCTCATTTACAGGGAACCCACTCACAGCAACACGAACACTCTCTGAGATTGAATATATATATATATATATATATATGTGTGTGTGCAAGTTAAACTATTAGCAAGCAAAGGGCATTATTGCTATTACTGGATGTGTACACATTGTACTTTAAAAAAAGCAAGTTGCGTCCAGAAATCTGCCACATGCCCAGTTTCTAATATCCTGAAGAGCTACAAGAAATGTCTAATAAGGGTAAAAACCCTCATCGAGTCTTGTCTAGCCACTGGGTCGTCTTCCACTGAAGCTGCCTGTGAGCTCCAGTTGGTATATCCCCATTGATTTTTAAGACGAGGAGGGAATTGCAATTATATTTATTATGGTCACTATTTTGTCCACACAGGCCTATTCAACGTCCAGGTCACCCGCCACGTGGGCAAGGGCGATGGGGATGCAGGTAGGGTTTGTGGGTGTTGGGGACCAAGGGATGTGCCATGTGGGCGAGGCCGTGGTTGGGCGAAAGCAAGTGAGGATAGGAGAGGTGGGTGTGGGAGTGGGTGTGGGTGTGTCAGAGATAAATATACCAAGGCAATGGATGAGGTTTCACAGCCCCATGCGGCCAAAGCATGGGCTCCAACCATTTCATCATATTCCCCTCAACTGCCCCTTGCTTGGCTAGTTCTCCATTTCGTCACTGCTGCTTTCCCTCACTCCTTACTTTTTCTTCTTCATACTAGTTTCATATTGTATTTCTACATGGATTTTTTTCCTATGTTTTTATTTATTTATTTATTATTTTTGCATTTCTTTGTGGGTTTATTTTCCTCACTATCCACTTCACTTCTTTCCCCATCCTCCTCTTTAGGTAGGCCCCACCCTTGTTTTTGGCTCACAACTCATTCTTTTGCTTTGGGTGCTGCTGCTGTTGCATGCTTGGACTAGGTAAGCAACTTGCAGTCAACAAGGGATTGTCAGATCTCTACACTCCAATCATGCCATTTCACAATGGCTTTCCTTTGTTCTACTTGCACCTTCGGATTTTTATATCCTGTTCCAGATATGGAGTTTGCATCTGTAATTTATATGACTAATTGTATTCTGAATATATATATATATATATATATTGGAAGGGTACTGTTTGTGTGTTAATCAGGCACTAACAGTGTCTATCTGCCCCTTAACTAGTGGTGCTCTTTCCAGAGGAGGGGAAGAAGCAGAGGAAGAGGAAGAAAAAGAAACACTACATGCATGGATTGCAAGGTGGGTCCTGTTGGCTGTGACACACATGCAATGAATGCTTATTATTGTTTTAATTGAAATTCCTCAGATTATTTACTTCTGAGACAACTGGATGCTTTGTTTTGGTTACTTCCATTGTGGGAAACACAATGGAACAAGTGTGCCCACCCTTTCAAGTGATGGATCCTTTGACAGTGTGTGCAGAATGAAAAGTCACAATTCCCCCACTGGAGAAGCTCCCAGCTGCACAGGTTCGAAGGCATATACATATATTTTGGGGTCTGGTGCCTGCCAACAGTAAAGAGTAAGGTCCTGGGAGATGACAAAGAAGAAATCAAAAAACAAAAACTGCAAGAAGATGCCAGGATGAATGGTAGGGCAATTCAATAAGGAGAAGCTGCACAGGCAATGGGAATTTGTGGGGAAATATCTGGGTACATGAATGGGATGGACACCACGCCAGAGAGTAAGTGCATTGAAATGGGGGATGAGGAAGTAATGGATGAAATTCACCGATGAATGGACTCTCACATGACCCAGTGATGTGGATTGAACACTGTCCCTCACAACAAATTGAGGCAATGGAGAGATGTGGTAGCCACACCTCCAACCAACCAACCCTCTCCCTACCACCACCACCATCACATCATCCTCTGTGGAACGGACACCTCTTCTCATCCATCCTTCTTTCTGTTCATCCATTTATCTGATCACACAGCATTAAGGCTTCATGGGATGTATCTGTGTCACTGTAACTGTATCGCTGGAGGCTTTTCTACAAGCTCTCATTGGTGGGTGACTTCCGAGAATAATAATAATAATAAAACTGCGGGAAGAAGACTAGGGCAGAAAATTAAAGAGAAGGAATATATATATATATATATATATATATATATCCTGGTGTTGATTATGCACCCCATGAATTTTGAAATGCTCTAAGCCCCCACTAGGAGACAGGAATGGATCAGGTATTCCCATTCCCTTTACCAGATTTTCTTTAACTTTTGGATTATTGCATCTGATTGAGTATGAACACATTTGAAGCTTGAGTCTCCCCAAAAGCCAACGTTGGATAGATGTTCAGAACTGGCTGATTTGTAGTAATTTGTTTTAAGGGGGTTTTGTTTGTTTGATTTGTTTATCATGTTGTTCAATTACCACATTGAACTGCAACTGTTTACTTGTAGCAGAACATTTGTGAAGCAACTCAAGTAAATATGTAATTGAACGAGTATCTCATTGCATGTTTTTGCATATCACTGTCTTGTATTCTAATAGTTGGACCAGATGTATGAAATTGTTGTCATTTGAACTCATAAGTGATACAAATGATCTGAATGTTTACTCCCAAAACATAAGCTCAATGCTCTCTGAAGTAAAAAAAAAAATATAACCAACAACAATCCAATACATATTCAACTATTGTGGTATCTCCAATGATTAGTGGCTACAAACTTCCATTTTCTAAACTTACTATTGAATAGCACTCTTTGTTTATATATATGCATATGTGCATGTATCTCAAAAAATAATATTCTCCGGCATCAAAAAACAAGAATAAAATCAAGTAGTGCAGTAAAACACAATTAAAAGGATTAGTTGAGCTACACATACTTCCTAAATGGTTTTTGATGAATATGTTTGCAACACATATTTTTAAAGATTGCATACTTTGTGTGCATTTTTCCTTTTTTACAAAAAATAAACTCTTGTACTGAATATATCCTAAAGAAGTATTACTGTTTTGTTATCTCATATAGATATGATTGAAATGACTCTTTCTTGGTTTACTGCTTCATCAAACTTTGAAAGACATCAACTCACAAACAGAATTTGGTATTTTTCTGAACTGGCTTCCTACAAAACCAAAACCAAATAAACTCAGTAATTTCATATCCAATTACAACTTGCAAAAAAAAAAAAAAAAAAAAAAAGAAGACCCTGCCAGCCACCCCAATTATTTACCACGTGGCGGTCCTTCACTAGTTGGGAGAATTGCTTCTAAAAATGTTTTAGTAAGTTCCACGTGGACCGTGCCTATGAGGTGGCGCTGGTGATGGATAGGGAGGCCTATCAATTAGGTGATAAATAGTACATGGTTTGCCGCGTAGGTCGTATTGTACTCATGTACGATACCATTACGTGTGAATCAGTATTCCTTTTGCCTCCCCACTTGTTTTTATTTTATTTTATTTTTTTTTTTTCCTTGTGCTGTTGGGTGAACCATAGTGGTTCCTGCCACGGTGTACATCCCGAGTTTTAGAGTGCTACTGGCATGGAGAACGACAGGGGGACGGGATTTTAGCCCCCTGCCTGGTCAGTCAATTATTGGAGTCCTTCATTCATTAACCCACCAGAAAGCAATGGAGTTCTTTCTCCTGGTGTGCAGAAGGCTGCTGCTGCTGCCTGTTCATGAAAAGATATAAAGAAAAAAGAAAAAAAGAAAAAAAAATCTCATGACTGAATATTGATGCATACCATCATAAATGGTGTCTCTCAGGTTCTTATCCACAGCCTCCCCACACAATGCTATGAGCGCATGAATCATCACACTTCATCATCTTCTTCTTCTTCTTCTTCTTCTTCTTTGTTTCTGTTTCATTTTCCACCATCTATTTTATAAATATATATATGTATATATACATGTACATACATGTATACATACTTCATTGGTAGATTATGATCTTATTTACCACTGGATTGCAGGTGTTTCAACTACACCAAAAACCCTGTGAAACTCGTTTCAGACTGGTTTTCTCACACAATTCCAGTTGTGGAAGGAACATAAGCTGGGCAAATGTGGGGGGGGGGGTGACACAATTCATGACAAGGAGAACCGATGCAAACAAACCCTAAAACTCATGCATTGATTTGTGCTCTATCTTAACACAAGTAACTACAAAGTTTCAGCCAAGTTTATGCAATTCATATTTTGGTGGTCATCATTGTGCTCATGACTTGTCCATTTTCTCCACTTGTCACTCATCCAGAGGAACTCACATTTATGAACAGATTTGTTCTTTTAGGTCTTTTCCCCTTTTATTGCACTTGTTGCACAGATTTTCCAACTTTTTTCTTCATGTGATGTTATCCAATGGAGAGACGGCTGAAGGGGAATTTAGAGTCATTGGTTGGTTGAGCTTCACTTATGGAAATACATGAATCATGCATGTCTCATGTTGGAATTTGGGAATGAAGCAAAGGAGGGAGGGGGGGGGGGTTCTTCAAAGTCAGCAGTCTCCACTTCAAAGTCATTGGGTAAGACCCTGTGTAAAGGCCACGTGTTAACTTTCCTCTTTTGTTCTCCTTTTCTGTTTTTACCTCTTTAAATCTTTTGCCTGTTTACCATACCCACAAATGGCAGGATCTTGTAGCTTTGAGCCATGTAAGTGGACACAACTCACCTTGGCTGAAGAGTGAAGAGTGTTCATTAACTAGCCAAAAAGAGGGGGGGGGGGTAATGCTGTAGGTGGTCCAGGCCCCCTTTGGCTCCTCCACCCACTCACCCAATGGGACTTGGGTACCACAGGAAAGGTGCAGATGAAGTGACTCAAATCATTAGGTATTCACTGACCTAGCTTCTCAGGGAGAGCAAAGCAAGTATATTTTTTTCCTTTTCTGTTGTGAAGACAACAAGGCTGGGACTTATCCACTCCCCTTCTGCTGTGATGTATGCTCCTCTAAAGCTCATCCCTTAAGAAGGATAAGTGGTTCTTTTCTGCAGGAGTTAGCTTTGGTTGCAGGGATTAAAAGGATCACCCTTGAACCAGGAGTTCTATTCGTTGCAGAATTCTGTACACAGAGCACAGCCTGTCCTGATAACTTGGACTCTAAATGTATGAATCCATGGGCATTAACCAAAAAAAAGAGTACCATATTGAAATACAAAAGAATAAAGATCATCAATTGGGGTCTTCATATTATGGAATGGTTGTTGCTACACAAGATGGTTTGATAATGCAAAAACAAAAGCCTGCTTTGACATCTTTTTTCCTTCACCATATTAATTTATTTTATTTTGTGTGTGTATGTATGTGGTTGTGCTTTAGACTGAATCCATAGCCAAGTTTTTTTGATGAGGTGGATAAGATTAGGGTCTCCCCCTTTTGTTTGCCACACCATCCAAAGATGCCTTTTGCAGTGTTCACTTTCACCCAGCCCTGACAGGAATGGACCCCTTGAGTTTATCTCCTTCATAGTATGCTGCCATGTATTCTCTGCACATGTGAGCATCTCATAATCATTCTTGTGCTCGAGATTAAAAATAAAATTATGATGCAAAACGGGCTTTGTTAACTTTGGGCAAGCACCCCATATTTTTAGTGCCATGCATCCACATCAAGAGTCAAGGAAAGTTGCCTAAGATGTTGATTCCCATTCCCTCTGTAAATTTGCCACTTAAAATCAGAAAGAACTTGCACAGTTAAGCCAAATTTGTTTTTTTTTAAAAGGGAAATATGGTAGAAAAGAAAGATGCAAGTTCTGTGCCAAAATTACGCACTGCGCATTCCCCTACAGATATATTTATGGACTATGTAGATTATAAAAATTGAATGCACAGTGGGTTAGTGGAATAAACATGAAATGTATTGATCATCCAACAAACATAAGATTTCATCTGCTGGGAAACTTGGGGCAAGTCAAACAAAAGCCCTGGAAGAAACAAAGACTTTTCCTAGATGTGGGTTTATGGATGGAAGGGGAATTTCAGCCTTCAGCCTTCAGCCGGTTGTCATATCTACTTCCAATGTCATACAAGTACCTTTCAAATAGTCACAAAGTACATATTGTCTTCATTTTCTGCAGCAACTTATCTACTCTGACAATGAAATGCTGTGAAGTAAACTCACCTTTCAAAAAGAGGATGGAAATTTATAATTAATGACATTTTATTCATTTTTTGCCAACAGGAAACCCTGATAGTGAACATCAAGCAGCCACGATTACAATAAACCAACTCAGTAAAGAACCCACCCAGCAATGAATGCTTTTAATCCACAAAAAACAACGGCGTGAGAACGAAGTATTTACAGCTGACGTAGATTTCCGTCCACCGATCTACGAGTTGGGGAGGTACAGGATCTACGGCGGCGTGACGGACACCGACGGCACCGGGCAGAGCTGTAGCCGCGGCAGCAGCTCATCCTGATCGCAAGTGGAGAGAGAGCGAGCCAGAGAGCATCTTCGGCCACGATTTTGCGCCGCTTTGACGCTATTGAGCCCAAGTAGGCTAAATTTCTCCGCAACGCCCAAATGGCACCAGAACAGGGCGGAGCCATGTCGGGTGGGATCCAAGTTGGCCAACCAATGACAACCTCATCCGTCCGGGGTCTGGCACTGCCGAGTCACCGCCCCTCCCGAGTTGTTCATCGTGCTCATCTGGTATCGTCGTCGTCCGCTTTCCTCCGCGTTATCGCCACAATCGCGGCGCCACCCGACTTCCCCCGATAGCCCCCCTTCGCCCTAGGTTTCTCATTCTGGGTCCTGCCCGCCGATGCCGCTGCTCATCCTGTCAGACGCTCGCAAGCAGCAAGCAGATCAGCACAGCCGCCTCGTCAGCCTGGCTTTGCCATCCCACCTTTTAGATATCTAGCTTAGCCTTCATTCCTCTGTGCGGAGATACCCGGGGCATCGCAAGTCCATGAGCGAAGGTCAGAGGGGGGGGGCACGTCCATGTGCGTCGGGATAGCCAATCAAATCCGAACCAGCAAGAAGTAGTAGTAGCCAGCCAGGAGTGGCAGCAGCCGAAGTGGAAGAGGGTTTCTTGTTTTGCTCTTTCCGTGTTTGTTTACAGTGCACGCCATGTCGTCGGCGTCGTTCTCTGCGTTGTGAGGAACCTTGATCCCTGTTGCCGAGAGTTTGTGGAGGTGTGTGTGAGAGGTGAAGGGTGCGTTATTCGACCTAGTCCGGATTAGGGGTGTGGACGGAGAAGTGAAGTTAGTTATCCACGCGACGCGAGGGTTTCGAAATCCTGGGATAATTGTTGTTTGTTTGGGGTTGGTAAAGTGGAAGTGAAGGGCAGTGCAGTTGCAAGCCGAGGATTATCGTCAATACTTCCAGCGGGACTGTGAGTGTGGAGCGAGATCTGATTCTGTGGGCTGTTTTCAAGGGTTACGTGGCACGTCTTGTTCGGAGTTCTCTGAAGGAACTTGTGTCGGGGTGAGGCAAAATTTCTGGGGTTTTGTTTCGTTCGGCGGATTAGATAACCGAAGGACTGATGGTTGCTTGCAGCACCCATGCGCAGTAATCCCCGACGTATCTCTGTCATGTTAAGGTTTGCTGGATCTTCGGATGCGTAGGGTAGAGTGATTTTTTGGAGGGAAGATTTCATGGAAGTGGGCAAGCCGAGAAGGCGTCAAAATCCACTGGTTGGCTTGCTGGAATTTCCGAGGACCAGCATGATGATTTAAAGGAGAGCAGGGACAGGGGAAGCGATTTCTGTATATGCCGTGCTCTCAATTTTAGGAGGGCTAATGAATGTCCATGTAGGAGACACAGAGGAGGGTAGAGGTTCAGGAACAGCAGTTAGAAGCCGCCCAGGAAACGGCGAATCAAAGCAGAACGCGGTCGTTCTCAGTTTCATTCTTTCTGTCGCGAATGCCACCTGCAGGTGAGGCTTTTGCCGAGAGTAGTGGATGTTTCAGAACTCGCCGCAAGGACTGTTATGGAAGACAGAGCCCCCGGTGTTTGATGAAGTTCAGATTTCGTACCTTTCACTCTATTAGACAGTCGTTTCCTACCAGCGCGCACTTCGATTATCAAGTTATTTCCCAGCGTAATCACTGTGGGCTGTGGAAACACAAGAACCTCTTTGGAACTTTAGAACGTCAGTTGCACTTGTTTGTTTTTGACTAGTAGTTATCCGTGTTCTAATTTTGTGTATAGTTTCTCTCGTCACCTGGTTCTCTTTGAATGTCGAGGATGGCCATCAGGTATCAATGCTGGGAGGTGAGTGGACCAACTGTCAGCTACAAGCTCCCGCATGGTCAAACTCACGGCCTCGTTGCACCTCAGTATGCAAGTGACGGGTCGACATTACGGCGTCACTCCAACTCCCCGCACGAAAGTTCTTTTCCACATTTTGCGATGTATCTGCAACCTCAAAGCGATCTGAAGGGTCAATCTCTTGCGACACACCCGAAGGATGTGTCAGCCGTGGCCAATGTCAGATTAGTGACGCCGCCCCATAATCAGTTCTCTCCTACCTCCTCCTCTCCCATCGCGTCTCCGAAGACGTTTGATCTCGTGTCGGAGGCTTGCATTAATATCCCAACCAAGGAACCGGCAGTTTCAGAGACACTTGCGACTACTAGCTCCGTCACCACTGAGTCTGAGGTGAAAATTTGCAAATTGGGTTCTTTCGTGACCTCGACCGATGGTCTATGTGAGGCCCAGAGCAGTAGGTTAGAAGGAATTTCTGCGAGCCCATCGTCCGGTTATCTGTCGAGATTTGATGGTTATCATCTCGGTCATCGAGATTTGAGAGCGAAGCTGCCCAGCAGCAAACCGGGGGTTGTGGAACGCGTTCTTCCTCTCAACGGTGGATATCTTACCGGAGGGTATGCTCATTGCCCACCCAGCAACGACGATCTGCCTGCAAATTCTTCAGAGTCCTCTTCGTCGATCTGTCAAGCTAGTGAAGACAGCAGCGCGTGCACTTCAGAGGATGCCGGGAGTGAGGAGGCTCAGTCAGCATATCGTGGCCCCTTGAATTCGTCCCTAGCAGCCTTGGACGAGTCTCTTCCTATCAAGTAAGCAGCTTATGGGCATGATTACTTCCGTAGGTTGTAGTTATGGGTTTTGCTTTGCATGATTTCACATGCAGTCATTAGTTTTGGTAATTTAATCAAGTGTGTGCGTGAAGTCGCCGCCACGTGACTTGTTTTCGAATGGGAGGGTTTTGAGGATATAGCTTTATGCACGAGTAATAACCATATTTCTTTTATCCTCTCGCAGGAGACCTGGCTTATCGAAATTCTTTGGTGGCAAATCCCGTTCGTTCTCTTCTCTTGCTGAAGTATCCAGTGTGGCCGATTTGGCGAAACCCAACAATCCGTACGCATACATCAAGCGACGGAAGATGGGGTTGAACTGTCCATTAGATCGTCACAGATCATATCCACCTCCGACACGGTCCTCTGGTGCTAGCATTGCGAAGAAGTTACCGAGCAGTAGCAGCAAAAGCTCGCTTGCAGTGGCGGTGCTGCTCGAGCAGCAAGAACAGCATGATCATCAGGAACATAAAGAACAGCGAGAGCAGCAGCAACAAGAGCAGCGGGCACAAGAGTCGCAGCAGCAAGAGCAGTTGTTGGCTGCAGCACCAAGTTCCATGCGGAGGTCAGATGCCAGGGTCTTTCCATCCCGGTCTTTCTCACTCACCGATTTACATGCAAGCGGCAGTCCACCACTTCGTCGAGCCTTTGTGAGACCGTGAATACCGCTCAAATAAGTGATGTTTTTTCTATATTTGTAGTGGACGAGATTTTCCTGACACGCCACTTGTTAAGGATCACCTCTCCATCGACTGGGCCGGGACATTCAATTGTTCCCTGTTGGGAGTGGAACAGGATGTCAGACATGCTCGTTGATCTCCAAGACAATGACATATAGCAAATTAAACAAGCGACAGCGTGTTCTGCTTAGGATGGAGAGTACTGCTGCCCTGGGTAGCGTGCTCTCAAGTGATTTCAAGTGATCCAGCAAATGATTCTGAAACGGGTTAAAGAAAGCTGGACACATTGAGATGGCCTGATGAGCTGCCTCTGGCTCCCATTTAAGGGGACTGTAATGACGATTACGGAGGTATTTTGGCGTGACATTACAGACGTCAATCTCAGTTGAAGTGAGGGAGTCAATTCGACTTACACACATCAGAGACTCCTTCACGGAAAGTATATGCTCAACTGCCAAGAAGTATGGCGGTGGATGATAGTTTCATGTTGTGATGAAGGGGATCTTTAAATTGGGGTCTTTCTGTCACAGGTGTGCTCGAGTGTTTTACAATTTAGTTAGGTTTCTTTCTGCTCTGATTTCTATCTCCTTCAACCAGTGATGGTGTTGGAAACTGGTGGTCGGTAGAACAGAAGCAGCAGGAGGGACCCGACCAAGTATCTGATCTGTTGAAAGTTATTAGTCTTCTCCTTGAGGAAGATACGCAGCAGGCACGGCTTGGAAAATCCCGCGGGGGATACTAGAGCCCCATTTGCCCCTGGAGTGAATTTGGCTGTGGGAGTCCACCTATTTAGAGCGTTTACACACATTGAGTTCATTTGATACTCAATGAGACTCTGCTTGAGAAGTCCGTGCTATTTGATCAAATGCGCAAGGAGGTGGATGTTGCCGATGGTGCCGAAGAACATAAGATGTCTAGTCAACTCTCTCTCGTTTCATATCTTGTAACATACATTGACATTTTCGTGTGGATCATCATTGTAATGGAATTAAAGCAAGATTTTCCGCCACATTCGTGTCCTTTTGACACTTTCGCTCATTTTTCTTTGCTCTTGCAGTCTCTATGATTGTCGGTTGAGTTGTGGAAGTACACATTTTGACAGTTGATAGCTCTATGCTAATGCTTGCTACCTGTGGAGCGTTATTGCCCGTCTCCGGAGCCTGCTCTGCTTAGATTTGGGTTTTTCCTTCAGTGTGTGTGTTTCATCACCGTCGGAAGCCCCTGTGCTGTTTTCGACGTCGGGCAATCCATGTTCTCGGTGATCTACGAGGTGTAGTTTCTTTGGTCCCATTTACATGCAGTCATGACGGAGCCTCGTGCTACAGCCGCTGTCCCTACTGTATCTAGAATTTTTCAAAATCTCTGTTGACTGGCATCTTCTAGTATTTCCACTATTCCTTCCCACATTATGTAATCCACACAGATGACCCGGCTTCTAATTATGAGGGCACAGGGCACGCAAACCATCGTCCAATGCTCTCCTTGTTCTACATTGACCAAATCAACTGGACGTATTCATCCTATACAAGCATCCGAACTTTCCACTCAACACAGCGAAAACCAAATATAAACCCCCCAATGAAGTGACGGAGTGCTCAGGAAGCCGAACTCTATCCACAGCGGGTGTACGCCAAGGGCATATTCCAGGAACAAAAGAGGTCAGCCTCGGCGAATCACCGAAAGCCAGCTCGCACCCGAAGCAAAGTTCACCACCCGGGAGCTGCCAAGGTCCGTGCGCATGCAATGATCCATCACAGTGGAAATTGCCTTCAAAGGCATGCACACTCTCTCTTACTCTTACGGTGGGGTCGGTCAAAGCCATGGGACCCTGATTAAGCCAATGGAGGCCATTATTTGGGGTCCAGGAAAGCAGAGCTGGAGGAGCTCGTTCTCCAGCTCAAGCTTATCCCTCATCTCTCATCGGGACCTTCCTTGTTGCTTGCGCTTGCTTCTCCACGCCAACCCACGACCAAGCCTCCTCTCACTCCCTCCCTTCCTTCCTCCCAAAGGCGCTTCTAAAGCCGTTCAACAAAGGCGGGCGGAGCGGGTATCGCAGCAACGATGGAGCCCTCAGCATCACCACACAGCGCGTTTCGTCACCTGGTCGCGGCAGACGTCGCGGTCACGCGCGCCAGCATCCGACGCGACGCGACGCGCCGGGCTGGGCTGGGCCGGGCCGGGCGCGACCGGTCGCAACCCCAGCGCTCATTAATCGCGGGTTTGCCTTGCTCATGAGAGAGGGGCAGCTCACACTTGGATGGATGTGTGGATGGATGTGTGGATGGATGTGTGGATGGATGTGTGGATGGATGAAATGGTGGGTTGTTGCAGTGAATTATTCCAAAACTTTTGTTTGTTTGTTTTTTTTTTGTTTTTTTTGTTTTTTGTTTTTTTTTTTGTTCGGTATATGGTATGTATACAATTCTAACTTTGTGTGGAGGGGTTGTTTGTGGGTTTCAAGGGAGTGAGATGGAATGGAGGGTTGTGTGTTAGCAAAATTTTTGTGGGCCAATTCCCTTGTTGTAAACTCAAAGTGTTGAGATGACCAATGAATGGAGATGTTTAGAAAGTGTTCAAAGGATTGCTGGATATGGAGAAAGCTTTGCAGGCTGCTATCTAGGTCTACATCATCTTTATGTTTTGGAGGATGGTTGGATGGATTAAGTTCCTCCGTTTTATGTTGGACATTTCACTCACTGAAACAATATACACATACAAAGCTTGCCTTTATCTTTAAAAAGAAAATTAAAGAATCCATCAAAGTGCTTTCTTTGTTCCCCTCATCTTGTCACATACTTCCCATCATCTACATATATTTTCTATTTTATAAAACAACAATTTGTGAAAGGTAAATGCATTATCTTTCCATTTTAAAAATTACTATCTTTATTACTTTGTTGCAAGATCAAAAATAAAATAATTTATATTAAAAGAAGGTTAGATATAATATTTGGAACATGAATTTGACATTTTTATATTACAAGCACATATTATGATTGATAACATATATATATATCCATGCAAAAATTTGTGAATAAGGAATTGATTTATTATGCAAAATGTGGTCTTCTTCAAGAATGTTAATGCCTTGAAGAGATGCTGCAAAAATGAAGCTGTGTTATTGTTTGTCAATGCAACCCTAAAAATTAAGCATCTTCTGTTTTTAAATTTTTTCTTTTTGATCAGAATACATATAATTAATAATTAAAAAAATTTGGTGCTACATATTCATTCATAGACCATGCAATTACCAGTAAAATATAAAAAATGTTAAATAAATTAATATATATATATATATATATATATATGTTTCAAAAATTGTGAGGACAAATCTTCTGTTGTTTGAATTTCGTTTTTAATTTTAAAAGAAAAATTCAGACTGAACTGATGGATTTAAGTACATACTTAAAAGTTTAAGATATTATTTGATGGGGAATTGCGTTGTCTCTGAACTAATCCAATAATCAATACAGTATGTTTCATTATTTTAAGATAAAGCCAGTGGTTTGCAGAGATGAGTGTCAGAATGCATATATGTTAGGCCATGGATGTGATTTTTATACTTTCAATTTCAATTTCTATTTGTTTCTTTAAGTAATATTTTTATGGAATGGAATTGAGACACATGGATTTTCTCTGTTAAATTTTACATAACTTGATTCTTAAGATGGTGTTTACTGATTTAGGTTTTAATGATTGAAATTTTTCATTGCTGGTTGAATTCAATATCATAGTTATTACAAACAATGCATTATTTAAATATACAACCCCAATCGTGCAAAGCACAAATTCACAACTTATTCAATCACTGAAGATTAAAAATTCAAAAACAGCTTAGTGAAAAAAAATCTAAATATCCCTTCTTTTATGTGACTCTGATCCATGCCTCCAAAGCATGAAAGCACTAATTTAACCACACAACCGACCAATTTTACCACCGAGCTGCACCTGGTGCGCTCACAATTTCTAACCCATTAAAAGTTAGTTTATCAGTCACCATGGGTTGCTGTGGCACTAAAATTACGCGTAGTTTATGAACCACAACTGTAATACAGCAACAAGTTGTGAAGCAACACCGCAACATTCAGCCCATTACATAACGAGAGGATCACACGTATGATGAAATCCACACACTCTTACAGAAACAACTTCCGAGCCTTAAACAACACTTGATGCCGAATTCTATGCACTTCTGTAGCTGCAGGTGTTGACGACCTGCAGGATATCTCCGATAGATGGTTCAGAAAGTTAGTATTATTTTAGGAAGGAGAAGTTGAAGAAGACGACGAAGAAGAAAGTGGTGCGTAGAGTTCATGACATAAGGGATCAATGCAGTGGTTGTAATGTGGCGATGATGCAGCCGGCTTCATACCCCACATGAGGCAATGTTCTCAGTGGCTTTCGGGGCCTTGAATATGTGCATTCCAGCTTGCAAGGTGCTATCCCACCAGGCCAACCTTATGCCGCTCATGTTGACTGGACGCAGAATTGCCGCATGCCTTGCTTGCCTATCGATCAACTGATTGCATTTGAATGTTCCTCCAGGTCACTCGGTCATGGGAGAGCTCGTTTTTCAGAGTTTCCGATAGACCCGAAGCAACATCTGCTGCGACAAGTTTCTAGTCCGCGCTGGTAGGAGTTTGCATGCACATCAGATTCCCGACTGCAGGTTCGCAGTCATGCAAAAGGTACTGAATTTGTTCCACCAGGGGGACCTTGTGTTCTGCAAAGATCACAAGAACCTACAAAAGCGAAGAGGAAACTTTGATCATTCGTGGCAATGCTAGATATCAATTCTCATCAATCTCAGAAATGGACAATACATTCATTTCAACCGGCTTTATTGAGCATCCTAGTCACGGCGAATGTCGATCTGATCAGCATGAACCCTTCAAGCCTCGAGTTTTTGGATGCTGCTCGAAAAGAAGGAACATGATCTGGAAAGGTAACGAAGGAGCGGTGAGCGAACAGTGTATAACACGTCCATCAAAATAGGCTTCTCATCGTGCACTCAATCGGCAGTCGGTCATGAACTGCAAAAGCACCCGCACTTTCCTCAAGGAAACGATGAGCCACCCATTGAATGCGAATCTCTCGCAAGGCAGGTTTTCATGAACAGCGTGGCCGGTCTCCATTCCAGTCCCCAGACAGATCGCTTTACTGCGGATGCGATCGTGGCCTCGGTGATCCACAAAGCATAGTCTACTCTCTCTATGCGCAACCGAATATCCAACGTAGCAAAAACAACAGCGAACATGCAAGTGCTGGTTATTTAGAGTTGTTTGGACATGGTTTTTCCATTCTCTATGTTCAATCATTTCTCTAATTTGTTGATTGTTTCATACTGTTGTGTTATTTTGAATTCAATCTCTTCGAATAGAATTCTATCTCTTGTATAGAATTCAATCTCTTCTAAATGGAGACTAGCTTTTTTACAAAAATTATCAGAGTTTATCAAGATTTGTGTCGTAAGTTCCAACTTCTGATAGCAAAAATTAACTTGCCAATAATTTCATGTTCTTATTTGTGTATGATCAAAAGTAGTTCAAAACTACACTTTGTGTATGATTTCAAAAATAGTGAGGTATAATTCTAGTTGTGTGAAGTTAATATAATTAATAGTTTGAGAAATGTTTTACTTGTGTCTAGGTTCTCTAAGCATTTGAGCAATAATTCTCTGTTGTATTGGTTATTTGAATGCAATTTTTTCCTTCTAGAAAAACTCAAATCATAAATTTCTTAAATAAAAAGTATATTTTTAAAAAGTAAATATCTTGTTATTAATTTGTACCAAAATTCTGTTGTGATTGTATAAAATTCAAAAATTGTATCCTAAGTTTTGCTCTATGTAATATTAGTTCTTTATATGTTTGTAATCTAAGCACCAAACATATAATAAACACTCTCTTTATAATAATACAAAATAAATTTATAACTATATATTAATATAAATAATTTTATAAATATATAATATCATATTTCAATAATTAATTAATATAATATATTCTTTTTTATTTTAGTAGGTAAGAATAATTTTTAGGAAAGTTATTCCATTATTAAAAAATTGATGATAAATGTGTTTAATATATAATATTTTTAAAATTAAGCTAAAACATATCTTCGATACTTTAAAAATATGTATAATTATCTTGTTCTACTAAGTATATAATATCATTATTTTATATTTGATTTGTATAAAAAAATTATGTTTATTAGATGGATATATTTTTTAATTATAAAGAACATTTTATCCAGAAAGTATGATATATTATGTATAATACACTACACTTTTTATGCTTTATCAATTCATGCACCAACTTTAAGGTCTTAATTTTCATTTTTATTATAAAAAATATCATGTTAAATCAATCAATTGATTATTCATATGCAAACCTTGTGCTTAAAAGTCAACATTTTAAAATTAAATAAGTTTTCAATACTCTATCTAAAGAACAATTTTATTTCATTTAACCAAGATACAAATTACAATTAGCCACAATTATGGCCAATTTACCAAATAAGAAAAATCAACTATTAAAGTCCTTCAATAAAACTTAGAAAAAGAAGTCACGATTAATCAAAGGAGGTTTTAATAGAGTACATTACTGATCTACCTGTTACCCTTTCTTAAATATTTTGATAAAATGTGTAGTTTAAAAAATTATACGATTTTTAAAATTTGAAGCTAATTTAATGGAAAAATTAGTAATTGTGCCTATTAAGATTCATTAATTGGATCTTAAGATATGCTTAGAATTATAAGTAAGATTGTCGGCAATTATTTTTTATTATAAAAAAAAAATTATAGCTAAATACATGAAGCATTTCCAAACTACACTTTGTGTATTATAATATTAAAAAATAGATTAAGATACTTACAAACATAACAATGTATTTAGCCTAATTTTTTAATAAATAAAATTTAAAAAAAAAATTTGAAAATTTATTGCAGTAATTAGAATATTATTGGAGAAAGTATGAATTAAAATCATAAATTAAAAATTAAATTTACAAGTTAAAATCGTAAATCAATATATCACTATACTATTATATTAGAATATAATCAAAATTTATTAATGCTTCTAAAAAGGTAAAATCAGTAGTAAAGAGTTTTTAGTAAAGTGTTAGTTGAAATATGACATGAGCTAAGATGGCTTAGCAAGTGTTTTGTCAATTTTAAAACAAATTAGAATTACATATTAAGAACAAAAAAAGATGTTATGGTTATATAATTTTATTGAAATCATTATTTTCAATTTTAGAACATTAATAATCATAAAATGAAATTTTAAATAAAACTTTATATTGCAGTAAGAAGACATATTCTAATTTGATAAATTTCACTAATCAAAAAAGGCTAAAAAGTTGTTAAACATGATGTACATTCTTTTTTAAACACCAAGTCTTTTCTTTGTGTGTATGTTTAAACTTCAATTTATACTATTGTTCAAAAAAGTAGACTATGATTAATTGATTTGCATCCATAAGATAGATAACAACTGCATTAATTCTTAATAAGTCAATAATATCAAGTCAAAAATGACTAGTCATCCCATTGGCATTGTGTTGAAGACAAGATACCAATTAGAGATAATACATGATTGATTGGTCTGTCAAAGCATAAACATGTCTTTTTTTGGGATAACAATTAAGGTAGATCAAATTTGTTTATTATTACAATCTAAGTTTATTCCATGCAAAGAAGTTAAGACTATGTGATTAAACTAAAGTGACCTTTAAGTGATTTGTTTTCTACTAGATATAAATCAGGTGGTTTATTGTCAACAATAAAAAGAACCATGTTTGTAGATAGAAAACAACTTTGTTTTCAAGAGAAGTGTTAGTATTACTTCAATTGGCTTTTGGTGATTATGAAAAGACTATATGGAAATAAGGAGAAAATATTGGAGTTAATTGTGATGTCTAATACTTAGCATGATTGCTAGATTATAGCACCAATTTGTTAGAGCTTGGCAAAAATTAATTACTAAATTAAGACTATTTGTTGTTAGAAGACAAAATTTCTTAAATGTAATTTGCACCAATTAGTTTAAATGATAGGTTCTAAATTGAATATAATTATTTAAAACATAATAATAGTGGTTTAGTTGTGCTTATTCTTAATAATATGATATATTTTAAAAAATTTGGTTTCATAAGTTAAGATTATAAAGACTTGATTTTTTTTTTTGATAAATTATAATTTTTTATACATATTTTAATAATAAATTAATTTAATTTAATAGGTTATTTTAAAAATATTCTAATAAAATCCTAAATTCTATCTTATTTTTAAAATTAATTACAAATTTGATAAAATAAATAAGTTTTTAATAATTAGTCTTTTTTATTTGATAAAATAAAAGTAGTAAATTTTAAAGATTTCTTAATTGTGAATTAATAAAACATTAAAATTAATAGATTTAATTTTTTCTTATAAATTTATAGTTCCCTCTTTGAAAATAAATAATAATCTTTTTTATATATTAGAAGTTTGAAGGTTTTTGTATTTTTATTTTAGATCTTATTATTATTATTATTATTTTTTTAAGTTTTATTTACTACATGCTTCAATGCATAGCAATTTAGGATTTATAATTGATGCAATGTTTATCTAGATCTGATATTAAACTTTTATATCTTTTAAGTTTTTATATGTAAAGAGTAATATTCTAAAGAGATTAGTAAATTTACAATATGTATTTTTGATGGTTTGTAACTTGATTTTATTTATTTATATATTTTTGTAATGATTATGTATATATATATATATATATATATATAAAATTATGTTAAGTAATATCATTTGTTGCAAAAAAAAGTTGCCTTGCAATCTAAGTTGCTTACTTCCGCCCTAGCAGCCACATGGCTTTAGTGGCTACGTGACCTTGATTTGCCCAATTACACATAAATATCTTTTTTTTCTAATAAATAAAATACAATAAAAATTAATCAATTATTAAAAATAAAAAATTATTATTTGTATATTATCGATTTGATTTGTAAGATTTTGATTAATTATAAAGATTGGTAACTTTTAAAATATTAATTATTGGAAGAACAATTTTGTATGTATAAAAATTTATAGTTTATTATTATATAATATTTATTCATATATGATTAATTTGATATATTTTTAGTTTTATTATATATCTCAATTATACTATCTAAATGATATCTTATGTGCATGTTTGTATTTTTGCATTCATATTTTAAAAACATACAAATAATACATAATTAAATAATTAAATAAAAATTAATTTTGATCACATACCATTGTGTAGTAAAATATATTATGTATATGTTTTTAATTGTACTTTTTAATTTAAATTATTTTTTAAAATAGTTGGCAATGTCTTATAATGTAATATTAATTTAGAATCATAGACATTCTAATTGTCCTACTACATTATAGTATTCTAATATAAAGGAATTCTACATTCTTCAAGGTAGGAAACTTCAGCTGTTTTATTTTATGACTATCTTTTTCAAAAAACACCATTAACTAATATGATTTTCAGCATTAGTTTGTGATCATAAAATAGTTCAATATCAACTACATTAATCAACTACAAAATTTTCCCAAAACTTCAATACTTCGATGTTGCCATATGTGAAAAAGCTGAATTAACCATTTAATGCAGCATTTGAATCACAAAAAAGTTTAGGGCTATGAATGTAATAACATGGAACTTTAAAGTTAAATTTAAAGGAGAAGGCATAACAAAGCAAGAGTGGGCACAACGATCTTATCAAGGACTCTGTCAAGCAACGAACAGATGAATGAATTACGAAATGTGGATGATAGAAAGCAGGGTTTAGGGCTTCATCCAATGGCTTCCTTCATCCTCCTTCCTGCTCATGCATTCGCTCCAAGTCCCGTAGCCTGCTTGCTCGTCGGGCTGATTGCCCCCACAATCGACCCACAACGCATAGGCTGTGTCGATTGTTTTCGTGTGAGTTTCTGCCATCTTAGTCCGCATTGAAGGCCTGACCAAATTCACAGTAGTTTTGAACATGGGTGATTGTGGGTGCTAGAGGTGCGTTCGTTGAAGAAGTGGCAGGGGGGGCTACAGCGCCGTTCGTTTGAGGGTAGGCTTTGGAATTGGGAATCATGGGGAGTCCCGATGTTTTGATGATCGAAGCGGCCCCAGGCGCGAAAGAAATTGAACAAGCGAAGTGGCGGAATGGAGCGTTGGACGACACTGTGGACGCCCTGCCGTATATTGATCACGATTACGCGGATCCTAAGGTGAAGGCGGAAGTGGACAAGATGATTGCTGAGGAGATGCGGCTGAGCTCCAAAAAGCCTTCTGACTTCCTCGCCGAGCTGCCTCCCGTGCCTTCCATCAATGCTCAGGTATGGTGACCTGCAGTGTCCATAATTGTCTGTATATTCCGAAATGCCGACATTCGGCGAGCATGGAACATTAGCAGAGCTGTTGGATTACTTGGGAGAAGGTTGGCGATGTTGGTGTTGAATTATCATATGTAGTACACATTTTTAGGCTCACAAGTTACTCTTCTAAGAGCGGTCTCCGTCGGTGAGGCTCGCTTTGCTAAGAGTGCATTGTGCTTGGTGGAAGCTTTTGGTAAATAATGGCACAGCATGGTTGTTACAAAACCCTCAGAGAAAAATTCCAATTAGAAACTGTTGCAAACCGCTTGTACCTATTGCCAGCCAATTAGCAGCTGTTCTTGGACTTTCGCAATACTGTTCTGTTAGTCCAGTCCTTTCCAATGTCTACACTGCTTTTTCTTTGACCTAGAGTGCCCTTGTTTTGTACTTGAAATTACTAATAATCTAAGGTTAGCACCACAGCGCGCTCTGATTAAATAATAAGTTATGATATGCTTGCATGGACCAGGACCATCCAATGCTTGCAAAAGAGTTTGACCGAGTGCGAGCTGGAAAAGCCCCAGTTGCCTTAGACCTTTCACGTTACGGTTTAGAACCTCCTCCAGTGAATAAGCGCAATGACGTTGGAGCCTGGAAGAGCGCTGTTCAAAATGCAAAAGCTCAACTACAACACCAGACTTTGAGGTTCATCTCCTTTGTCAGTTAGCACCTTTGATATTACTATGCTTGCTGTCTTTCAGTTGCATATTTTTGGAAGTAGCTTGTCCCCTTTGATGTACTTCCTTATGTTGTATCAATTATTTTAGTGCTTGTGAATGTATGCATTAAGTCGACTCTTCTTAAAATTATGCAATGAAAAATCGCTGATCCCCTTGTAGTTAGTTTTGTTCTCAAAATGCTTCTTTCCTTTCAATGCAGACTTGAGAATCTCGAGCTCATGCTGAATTATGGCACCACTGCATGGATAGTTCATAATCAACATCTTGAAGCTTTTCAAGCCAGGTTGGGCTGATTTCTGGTCTATATGGAATTTGGGAAGGGAAAGTTCCTTCGCAAGCATTGTTACCATCAGATTATTTATGTATTGGTTGATAGCTGCAATGTTCTTCGAGTGGTGTATTAGGTTAGTATGTTTCTGATCGTTAATTTGTGGATCTACATCATACCCCTCACCAAATGTGCGGTCTAAATTATTCCAGGCTAAGAGATACAGCACTCGAATATCAGCGTGAGATTGAGATATTGAATCGAGAGCGCAAGCTTAATCAGGTCACCACTGTTTTCAAGAGTCTCTGCCTCTCTCGTTTTGATTTGTGTAATCACGAAATATTCACATGATTCAGTATATGAATGGTTTGTTTATTTAAGAGTGACCTGTATTGCTCTTGTAAATTATGGTTATTTATCTTTGTCCAACATTTGAAATTTTGATTTAGTGATCTCTTCCTGGTCTGCTCACCTAGTAAAACAGGAACTAATGAATGAGTAATGTCTTATTTTATGATCTGAGTGTGTAGTATTAACTGACATTCGGGTAATGTTCTTTGATCTGTTCGTCACAGCAAGCTGCGGCGGTTGAATTGAACTTGTTGAGTTCCCAATGGAAAGAAATCAGCCAAAAGAACTTGGACATAGAAGAAGCTTGTTTGAAATTGGAAGCCGAGGTCCTCAAACTCCGCGAGGAAGCTGAAAAGAAGTGAGCAGCCAGCCCTTCCCTCTCATTTTGTGATTTCTTTTTTAAAGCCTGCTTTTCTGTGGACATTGTTACTGTAGGATTTGCAATAAACTGCACTAATCTCTTCAAGAGCAACGGTTACCAGTAGTTCCAACGCTTATTTATTGGGCTTCTGAAATCTTATGGACTAATATTTCTACCTTTTTCTTCTCCTTTTGCAGAGGAATAGATCTTACTCAACCACCTCAGTAGGACAGTCAATGTCATGAAGTCGGGTATAGAGATTCTCTTCAATGTAAAAAATGAGATACTTTGGGAGATGTTGTCCAGTGTAGCACGCTGTTCTTTTTTGTTCTTAATAATAAAATCTACATTCTACCTTTACAGCGTGTATGATGTGTGGATGCCGATCGTGAAGCCGATCGTGAAGCCTGTGGTTGGAAATTGTAAAACGAATTGGCAAGACCATCTGAAAACTTATCATGTCGGGGCCCATGTAATGTAGTCTGGCCGTTATCAAACAGGCCACTCTCAGCGGGGTACAGTATTTTTTTTTCACGAAGCAGTCCAGGGGGTGCATGAAGTTTTAGCGACATTGTCATATCCTTCTCAGTTTCTGCTGACTGCTGAGGTTTTATACCTCTGTGTATCCTGGACAGAATGTTCAGATGATCTGCAACTATTCTCACATTGGTTTAATTCTGGACGCGCTTAAGGGATTGCAGAGTGCCCGAAGTTTGGAAACAGTTTGTTGGATGTTTAAGTTTTTTTTTTTGTTCAGTGTTATGAGCCATGTCCAGCTCTGTCTGAGGCAGTTGTATTGTTTGATCACGTGCTGTGCAGACCGAGTGACTTTCCTAGCTAGCCGTTAGGTGAGCACGACAAGGATGGGTGCTGCGTTTTTGCTCTCAAACATTCTTTAATCAAACTTGACAATGATGCTGTGCGAAACATTCTCTTGAACAGTACATCATGTTGTCTGCGGGTGTAGTTTCTAGTGAAAGGAACGCATTCGTCTTGTATTAGTCTTAGGTGGTATCATTACCAATATTCTCACTTTTGTGTACACTGGTCCCCATTTCTCTCGCTGGTGACGATTAGTTACAAGTAGCGTGTCAACATGACCTCTCTGTGTGTGAGCAGTCAAAATGCTCTTTTAGAGTAGTATAATTTCCCAGCACGTGCTTAAGATGTCTGCAGGTTCCTCCTTGTTTGGTTTGAATTAGTGTTTTTTCTACTATGGTGATGTGTTGCATACATTTTCTTCACTTATATTGTGGGCTCTGCAAATATATCTATAGGAATTGTTCACCAGATTTTATTTTTATTTTTAAAAAAACGTCAATGTAAATCAATTGTAAATCAATGTAAATCAAAAAACGTCAAATAAATCTGTTGCAATTATTAAAATAAATAAATAAATAAATAAATAATCAATCTTGTCATAGTATTTTCATTGCATGTGGACTTCAGTGGTCAAAACCAAAAGAATATATTGTTCAACTTGCAACTTGTCTGTGTAGTGAATCTTGGTGTGGGGAATGTATTAATATATAGCTATGTGGGACTTTAGATTGTCATATAGTTTACTTTTTATTTCTTTTTCTTCAAGCCTTGTCTATATGAGTTGACATGTTGGTCACTTTAAGCTTCTCCTGCAATGATTATAGCATTTTCTTTTTTGGATCTATATTGTCCATAAGTATACACCTCATAGAAATAATTATAAAATTTTAAATATTATAAAATATGGTAAGAGGTTTTTAGCAAGCAAAACTTGTTTTAAATAGCATAGTTTCCAAGGCCTTGATTGTTGTGGACTAATTACATCTTAATCAATAAGATTGTAAATGTTCTTAAATGTTCTTCTAATCAAAATAAAGTTTAGTCATAATATTCTATTTTATTTTAAATAGCTAAATACTATAATAGTTGTGAAGATTTTAAGAGTTTACTTACTAATTTGGCAATACATGTTGATATCTCTTCTCTATATTGTACAAATATACTACAAGATTAAAACATAGCTTTGCTATTAGTTCATAAAATAACTTCAAATTTGTAGAATGTTTTATATTAAACTTTAGAAATATTGACAACTTAAACTACCCTAATAAATCTACTTAAAGATGTAAATATTATGCCGTAACATTTTTGACAGTCGCTTTCTGTAATGTAGTTTTAATATTAATCCATATATGATAGCAAATACACATAAGACAAACATTTTAATTTAGAATTTTGTTTAGTAGTCTTATGTCACTTCAATAATATATTGCTAATTAGCAGTATACTATAAATTATTTGTTTATTTTAAAGTTGTTACCAATAAATTACTAAGCAGTAGATTTGCTCATGATACTCCTCAATCTTTACTTCCATCTTTACAGAAGTTTCATTAAGATTCTCATTTAGATACCACATAAGTATGTTATTGTAATAAATTTATCTTTTTAAAAATAAAATTAGTGACTCTTGCAATCGCTTTGTATTTTTATAATATTTAAACTATTAAAGCCCTGAAGAGGCCTATTGAGACACGTCAGCAGGATGCTTCACAAGTAGACACGAGGCGACAGGTCTGGCATGAGGGCACCTTGGCAGGCTCGCAAATCAAGGAAGGGAGGCTCATAACTGTTCCTACCTACCTCCCTACCTATATACCTACCCATCCCACCCATCTACCCTCTGCAGGCCTGGTCCGGACTGAGCAGGGCAGGGCAGGGCAGGTCCGGGCCGAGCCTGTGGCACTGCGCCCACACGAACCCTGTAACGGCAATTCTGGCCACAGCACGGCTGACAAAGTCTCCATTCAACTCTGCAAACCATACAAACAACACACACACGCACACACACACAAACTAACTCACAAAGTAACAAACAAACAAACAACGAGCCCGTTCAAACCCTCGAACGTCTGCTGAGCTCACACACTTCCGTCAGGCCGGCCTTAATGAACCCGGCGTTTAACCGCGTTCCACATTTTCCGACCGTTAACGGATAGTTCCGACCCTTGCTTTGATACCGCCCAAGTCAGCCCAACCGCTCCCCCCCCCTTCTTCCCACTAGACTTCCAACTTCAATCAGATCAAAGTCTCCCTCCCCCCCCCTGCACCTATCCTTGTCTTCGCGTACCTACCTATCAATTGCGGTCTGGTTTATTATGGTGCCGACTTTAGTGTCGATCTCTGGAGCTCATGGTTTGTAGCAGTAGTTGTGGACGATTGAGTTGATGGGCACCTCCGCGGCGGCGATGCTTATTGTGTCGGCAGAGAAGATCTGATTCAGTCGCGGATTTTCTTTGTGTTTGTGTGTGTTTTTGTATCGGTGTGGTCTGGATTCCGGATGGACGACGTCGGACGCTGAGGGAGTGCTTTCTTACCGATTAATTCTTCCCCGTCGTTGTTGCGAGCTCCGAGGGGTGTTGTTGCGTGAGTTTTGTTCGAAGGAAGCTCTGTTTGAAGTAACGGCTCTTGCCTTCGGACCTCTCTGCTCCTGGGTGTGTGTGGTAGACAGCGTGTGGGAATAGTAGATGGTGAGGAAGTCCGGGAGAGGGGTGGAGGTGGGTCATGGGGAGTCGTGCTTTGGTGGGGCGTGAGAGAGTGGGTGTTCGCGAGGTGGTGTGGACGACAGCGAGCTTGGAGTCGTAGTTGCGAAAGTATGCTGCGAGTCTCGGGTGTTGAGTTCGCGGCTTGTGCTCTTGATGGGTGATGTCGGCGTTTTGGTCAGTTAAATCTGTGCGTGGCGATCGTTGGAAGGAAGGCCAGGTCTCGCATTGTCTCTCCCAGGGTGGCTAGAAGTTAGAAGGTAAGTGTGTCGTTCAGTTGGCTGGTTTCATGATTTCTTCCCCTAATGTCTGTTGCTTTCTTTTTGTTGTGCCTTTCTGTATGGCCTTCCTACATGGGTTTAACTTGCGTCTTTATGCTGCATTTCGCTAGTTGTTGTCACATGCATAGCCATGTTACAAGTTTTAGTATCAAATTTGTACGTTCTTTAAATCCCGCGATCTGTGGTAATTATTTGCTGCTACAGTGATCAGCCTTAAGAAGTAGGATAGGCTGCAGGTAGGACGATGTGTCAAGTTTTGTGTACCAGTATTGTGTCACTTGTGATTTTTGTAGCTGCCGATGTGCCCCCTCCGTCTTACGAGTACATTGGCAGCTAGGGTGATGACCACATACACACCTTTGTTTCACAGTCCGAATCCAGTTTCCTTGATCAACTAGCCAAAATTGCTTGCCTACGTCTTACTCAGATGTGGATACCGATATGAACCATTTGATCAGTCGTTACAATTGCTCGTCTGAGTTTTTGGAGGGATTTGCTTGAGCAACACACCTTAACCAACCACAATGAAGGGAATTCGAAGTTAGTTGCAGCGCTGGATTTGCAGTGTATGAGAGTCGAGGTGAGGTTTTGCAGCAGCTGAAGTTGGATTTGTGTGTTGTACAGGTCATGGAGAGTCCTCGTCGGTCAAGTTTGGATATCCATGAACAATGTAAGAGTGAAGAAGAAGAGGCGAAGCGATGGATGGATCGAGCCAGCAGATACCTTACTGAGGGCCGCTTCGAGAGTGCCATTCGTCTTCTAGAGAAGACTGAAAACGTCTTCCCTAATTGTAAAAATCTTCCGGAGCTCATGGCAGTCACACAAGTTTGCTACGCAGCCACATGGCGCGCATGCCATTGCAATCGCTCTTACACTCGGAAGCTCCCCGATTGGTACCACGTCCTGAAGGTCTGCCACATACTTTGAGAATGTTGTTCTGCATTACTGTCGCATGGTGTACTCCCCCGATCTTAGTGTCCTCTGGAGTGATATTGATGTTGTTTAAAATGGATATGGTGGTCAATTGCATTGGATCATGAAACCGGTGTTGGTGCACCACAGCACCCAATGATGCTTCTACGATTGAAACCCGTCGATGACGCTTCACTCTTCCTACCCCAGATATAATCAGATTTTTTTGGGTATGATGGTCTTCTGAGTGTTCGTGAAGGTTCCTGTTTCAATACACATTCTGACGGAAGGCTTTTCAGGTTGATGAGAGGGCGGACTTTGACGCTGTAAAGAAGCGATATCGACAGTTGGGTACGTTTATCAACCCTAGAATAAGTATGCAAGGCTCGATGTGTTAAGATTGTGAATCGATCTTTTAGCGAAATACGAGGTATACTTGATGCATGACTGCTCGTTCTCTGTGCACTATTGTTGTTCTAGTGTCCGTGATGCTTTTGTCATCAATATGGCCGTTCTCATCACTCACCACGTATTATTACGCCCTGTTGTAAGATTAGGTTGTTTGTTTCGGAAATGTCGTCAATGAGAACACGCGCCTCTGATACTAACGAAAAGGGTGAAGTCGACGACCAAGATTTTTCTAAGATACATTTTCTCATTCAACGTGTGTGCAGCCTTGTTGCTTCATCCTGATAAGAACAAACATCCCAATTCCGAGGCAGCTTTCAAAATTATCACTGAGGTATACATGCACCTACTTCCCACAAGTGTTTCACTCCATTAACATGTTGATATTATGAGGAATTAATGACTCGTATCATTATCTTCAATCATTTTCGCTCCTAGGTAGAGAGGATATGGCGGCTTTCAAGCCCATTGAACTAATATGCCGGATTGGCTCTTTTCACTTAGTTCTACTCTACTCGATTGAGAAAAACTCCCTGTTATCTCTGTGTCAACTCCGAAGTGTATACTTGAAGTATTGCTCAGTTCGATCTTGTTGCAATAGGCATATGCATGCTTGTCCGACAAAGGAAAGCGTGACCTCTTCAATTTGGAAAGAAGGCGAACCTTTTGCTCGATATGCAATTTAAAAGCGCAAATGCACGCGACCAGTCACACGTCAAGACCTGTTATTACGGTACGAACTCCTCAGACACCAAAGTTCAACACCAAATTCGCGTCCCGCATGAACTGGGAGTCTGAAAATCTTCAAAATCTCCGTGAGAGGGCGAAAACTACATCCAACAACCTAGAGCGGGATTGGGGTAGCAAGACCTCCAAGTGGATACATCAACTTGCCAGTGCGCGACATAAATATTGGAACCCATCTGGATCACCCTTAAAATGTGATCCCAGAACTCCAGGCCAGGGTCAGGATTATGCACCCAGATCCAAGCTACCTCGATCTCCAATGTCGCCGGTACATCCCACTCCGAGGTCAACGCCAGACTGTAGGCGAAACTCGAATGCTTTTGAAGTACGGAGATCGTCCACTAGTGACGTAAATAACGAAAGAACTGATAAGCTGGAGGATAGTTTAGACCTGCTGTTGAAAAGGCTTCGAGTAGAGAATTCTGCTGCAGCCAAAGAAACTCCTTTGATGGGAGAGTTTTGTGTACATACGAGAACGCCAGAAGCTGGGCACTTGCTGAGACCTCTAGGTGCTAGAAGAGAAATGAGAAGTTCATGGGTGGATCAAAAATGCTCAGTAAACCTTGACGCCGGACCGGGATATGCTATGTGCCTGCCAAAGGGTCGATGCTTGACGAAGAAGGACCCATTCAGCCCATCTGTTGCCGGAAAACATCCTACAGTGCATGTGGACCGAGCATTTCGTAGCACGTCCGTTCTGGGGAAGAAGGACAATAGCACGCCGAAGCCTGTATCGCAGTCCTCAGAAGTGGAATTTTCAACACCAGGACAATCCTCATCGTTGAGATTTGAGAAGCTTCACCAATCGACTAAGGAGGATTCTATACCAACACGGTCTGGATCGGTCTCTAGAACTGCTTCCGAGAGTTGGACCAGTAGAGTCAAAGCAAATCCTGAATTGTTTGATGATGTGTTCACAACCGTGAGCTCTTCCACCTTTCGGACACCAAGCCGAAGGCAATCAAGTTTTGTATTGAGAACCCCTCCCACAGATCCCAGTACTGAAGCACCATCTACAGCAGCTTCTCTTGAGAAGTTCGGACTTTCCAAGATGTCTGATCGGAAGCAGAAGGTGGCGCAGAAAGGAAGTGCGCCTACATCACTATTAAGAAATCCAAGCGCAGAGAAGGATGTGGACTTTGTACGAGCGTGCAGCCTTTCGAACACCAGTACCGCAGAAATCAACCGAGAGGTTCGACCACCATTAGGAAGCAGGAATGAGAATGTGACCCATTTTTTAAGCAAGAACTTAGGCACGAACTCGAATATTTGTAATATAGAGAAGGGAGGATTGGAGCAATTGCGGGATACGGAGCAGCAACAGGCTAGTTCTTTTACCCATCATGTGTCCCAAATTACTTCTTTGAAAGGTTTGTGCAACATTTATGCTTAGACGGGTAGAAATTTTGAACTTTTTGTTGGAAAAAAGTGTTTCTAACTAAAAATTACTTCGTACACTTGCAGAGAATAGAGGCAATAAATGGAATTCTTTATCGTCTTAGCGCCGAGGCTAAGTCTGTTGCAGAGACCCTTGATCGGCGCCGGGAGAACATTGCAGCGGAGAGCAAAAATCAGGCTGTTGTAACGTATAATGGTCGCAGCAGGTCGAGAGACTCCCATGTATAAAAGCATTTTTGCATATCCTTAGAGTATGTAGTGAGGCTGTGTCAAAAGTATGACCTCATTGTAGGGCACTACCAGGTAGACTTTAACCGATCTCTGGTAATGTTCCAAAATTCACCTTCGCACCGCATGACCCCCTCCGTCTTATTACAGCTTTCTACAGTTTGATGTACGACGTGTACAGTACAACTGGAGGTTATAAAAGCCGCTTTTCTGCACATTATTATGAACTTTCAATTCTTCATAGCATATACAAATTACACATACCTCTGCATATCATTTCGGTGCAAGTCGATTGAAATTATGTAGCAACTACAGTCATCATCCACACACGCATACCATCATAATTGTGCACAAAGTGAAATTACATCTAACAACTGATACTCGCCGGTCATCATCATAAAAAATGTGGACCGTATGTATCACCCAAACAACTTATTCAACAAAAAATTTTAAAATAAATCGCAGCGAGCAATCTCATTAGACGATAAATTGCAGCATAGAATCCTCCGCCACCTCTACATCCCTTTCGTTAAAAGTCCGCCAAAACGGCTGTAATCTACTTCTCCTGCTCAGTGCATCCCATCTAATTGCAGAAGGTGTACTTCGTTTCACGTTAAACTTCGCGAAAATCTCTACCATCAAAAATATCTGGCTTGGATGACTGTGCCGGGTGATGAACACCATCAGGCTCAGATCTTCGCGGCGCTCTCTTTTCGGAATCACCGAATACGTCACCACCTCCAAACCACCGATCGAAAGGATTGCCCGATCGATCTGTCTCGTCTCCATCAAGCCCAAACACCTAAAAGCATTGCACACAAATGAACGCATCAAACCATCTGACTGATTATGAGGGAACGTTGAGTGATAAAATATTAAGCACTGTCCTGAATTTACTTAAATGCTTACTCACATCATCGTCAAGAAGACCATGAAGGCGCTAGTTCTAACATCAATCACGATATACAGGCTGTGCAGTTGACCAATTACATTATAAAAATCCAAAAATAAATTCTTACATGGAGAAAACTGTGAGCCATGTCCTCCGTCTCTCTCATCACATCCTCGATAGCGTTCATTATTCCTCCGAATCCAGTAAAACCTCCAGGTACCGCAGGAGAACGCTGACGTTCATCCCTCTGCGTCAAAGACCGAGGCCAATCCGATTCTGTGAAAGGCCTAGGCAAAATACTCCGAGGATCCTGCTCAACATCACTATGTAGTCCTGGTAGCGGAAGAGACCTGTCGCTGCCTTCGATCCAAAAGTTTGTGCTCCCAGTCGCCGCATCACCTTCCGTATACTCAGTTTCAGATTTCACAACTTCAACAGGTCTGCGTTACAAGCAGAAAAGGAAGTTCGATCACCAATTCAAACATGCTCAGAAAATCTTCGAGGGATCTAAATGACGTAAAAGCGGCAGAAAAACCTCGAAGACTTTCCAAAAAATTGAACCAGTCATAAAACAGAGGTTTCTAAATGAAAGGTGAGCCAAATGTGATATCAAGCAAGAGACGGAGAAACCCAATTCAGAAATATCGTAGTAGAGACGCTCCTTTCTCCATTCGAATCCGTATCCCTCTTCAATGGCTAATTACAACCCTAAATATGACATGCTCGTTACAAGTAAAAACCCTGACTAATTTAACGGAGATCGAGACATCGAGCAATCAAGAGAACGAGAAAGGCACGTCACGAATCTGACCTGCCAGGACATCTCCTCAGCAACTGCTCCGTCCGCTCACACTTTTGCACTGCATTCCCTGAAGAATCATTCCCTTCCAAGAAACACTTGTACTTCCTAATAGTACTGTAAGTACAAGGATCATTCGGATCAAACTTCCTCGAAAACCCGATGCTCTCGCCATTCCCGAATCCTTCCCGTGAGTCTCCTTCACTCCCATCGCTCATCCTACTTAACCTCACATCCATGACCGATAGCCACTCAACCCCTACTCATGCAATTCACAATAAGAGTACAGCAAAAGCGCCAATTCACCTCGTAACCCACACAAAAAACCACCAAAATATCTCAATTCACGATTGATCCCCAATTGAAAACCTGCTCCACGGTTACAAACAACTAACCCTAGAAGAAGGCAAATTCCAAGCAGACAACCCTAAAAACCGGCCAATTCCATGCAACAGAGCACCTAAATTACAGTAGCCCAAGAAAACCCAACAACGATGTAGATGTTGGGTGCAACGGGGATTAGCGATCGATTAGCGATTACTAATTACTTGGTGAAATCCTTGATCGGATGCGGCCACTCGCTAAACGGGATCGAAGAGACGTGAAATTGCAGTGCCGAATTGGAACCAATCTGAGGCGGAAGGTGCGAGAAGAACAGACCCAGAAGATTTGGCTCCGGGAACGAGGTCTCGGAATTCGAGGTTACTTTCGGTAAAGGACGGCGATCTGAATCTTTCGGGTGCTTCCTTGGCAAGTAAGTTAGGAATATTTGCTGACATGGAAGGGGAATATGCTGATGTGGATCAGCAAGGACTTACTTCTCGTTTTTGCTTGAAGTGCGCAACGTGGTGAGGATTTTCACTTTGACACGTTTCCTACCTGTAACCGTCCTTTGCAGTCACCAACGAATGATTTCTGGTGGATGAATGTAGGGGATGTTAATTTTAATTGGTTTCATATGTTTCCATGTCTAAAAAGTAAACTTCTCTTTATAAAAATATTAAGGCAAGGAATTGTAAGCATGATATTTTATAGCTTGAGAGAATGTTTCACTTTTTATAGTTCAAATGATAATAGTGTTTTTATTATTATTATAATTATAAGATATTGCCATTTGTTTTCGTTTATCATTTATATTGTCAGTATAGAAAGGTCATTTAGATTTCCAGATATTCCTGTGGTGGTAAATGGCAACTTATTCTACCTTTTTTTTTTTTTTTTTTTTTTTTTTTAAACATATGTTACATGTTCAGAAGTTTAATTTTTAACTTTGAAACTAGGTAATATATTTTTTTAAGTTCTGCAGCAATTTCTTTCTCATTTTTATTTGTTTTTCCTAAATGTTGCAACAAAGGGAGCTTTAGAACCATCAACATTGAATTTCTTTCCAATATTTTCTAGATTGGTTTCAGTGTCTCAATTGATTAAGATTTCTAATCGCTAACACCAGATTTTATCAAGTGTCAAACATCATCAATCTCATAAATACACAAAATCATCACCATTATTAAATACATATTTATGTAAGCATCATGAAAATAGTGGAAGTCTCAAATCTATTAATACCACTAACTAACTTACTTGAGACTAGTTATAAATTTCTATTTGTATACATATCTTAAAATGATAACATCTCATTCCATGACCAAATTGGATTTGATGATTGTATTACTATACTATTTTTCATTTACAAAATTCCATCTTTCACACAATAAATTCAAAATTTCTCAAACTGTAAAAATCAGAAGACTGAGTTATTTAATTAATATGAATAATTATTACTAATTAGTTTACAAAATACTTCTTTACTAATGTAGCTACATTTTTGTTTAACAAAGAATTGGTAATGAGGTCCATCTTACTTAATAATTTATTCAAAGTCAATTACAAATATATCAAAATGTGGAAGGAAGATTGACTTATATGATAACATCCTCTAGAATTTTTAGTAATCAATATATTTTTTTTTTCTATAATAATAAATAATCTTGATCCATTTGCATGCTTTAAGAGTATTTATATGTTGATATATTAAATATTTACCAAATTCTTTTTAAGATCATATATCATGATTGTTTTAATCTTTGAATCATAAAAGAGTTATATATATATAATTTATAATTATTATATAAATTATAGTATTATTTATATAGATATAAGCATTTATAGTGCTTTTTAAAATAAGTCGTTTATATTTTTTTATCTATGTTTTTGGTTTTTTTATTTCTTAATAAAATATTCTTTAGATATTTTGAACTTATAATTAAAAAAAAATAAAACATATTTCTTTATACTTAGTTTTATTAACAAACTATATTTCATTTACATCACTCTCAATCTCTTTTTGTTGTTACAAGTCAATGCACAATCTCTAAAGAAAGATAATTAATTTGTATTTTTATGAAATATAACCATTTCTACTAATAGCTTACATGTAAGGAATTTCATTCAATTTGACACATCTTACTTTCAAACAAAGCAATAAATTTTAATGTAACATATTGGTTAGAATGGTCTAGTTAATTGTTTTCTTGCATCTCAACATACATAATTACATATGCAATGTTTAAAGAAGTATATCTAATATGATACATAAGTGAGGTTTTCAAATTATTATAAACTATTATTAATAATTATTAGTTTTTACCAAACACTCTAGAGATGATGATCAATACCTATTTTGGTCGAAATTGCCAACACAATAATCTTTTGTGGCAATTTTGGTGCCAAAGTATTATTTGATAGACATAAAATTGGACTAGATAAAAATAAAACTCAATTTGTAGTCAAATGGACAAACCAAAGGTTATTTTGTTACATTGACCTTTTACCCAATTTTAAGTGGAGTTGTTCCACTCAACCAAACAACTATAGTGTAAAGTGGCTCAACAATCCTTGTATCTTTCATTATTGTTACTATTTTATATTTTTTTATTCTAAAAAAAACAATAATAAAAGTAATAAAAAGTAATATGATTTTCAAAGATAATAAAATAGTAGCTACAATAAGCCAAAAATGAGTTACAAATCCAATCAATAAAATATTAGATACATGCAAATATACAATTCCAACTACTATTATTTGTTTGTTTGTTTTTTGATATGGGTTGTAAATAAACTCGTTTTATGATATAAGGCAATGGCTCTCTAACTAATGTCATTCAAAATATATTAATTTTGTATTTTAATTTCAAAGCTATAGATTGTGTACATTTTAAGAATTTTGATATATTTACAAAATATGTATACATGTATGTATGTACATTCATGATTATATATATATATATATATATATATATTATCATACATTATTATTTTTAACATGTATAACTATATTATATATTTAAATTAAATGTACAATATTATGCTGATTTACATTTTTTATTGCACAACAACTTGCAAATGTCAAAAACTATGGACATGCACATGGTATAAACACTGATGGCCAAAACTCATTCTTTTTATACATCAAATTTCACATAGTAGGCACAACGAAAATGAATAAAAACTAAAAGCACCTTCGACTCTCAACCTATATATACCAACCTATATATACAGACAACTATTCCAAATTCTCAAGATCGGATTTTAAACTAGGTCGTTCATTCCTCAAGGGCAATAATATGATATTCATGACCCTAAAACTGCATGTTACCAAACAAACGACACCGTACAGTTATGAGGGGGGGGGATCTAAGAATGGATTCATTTCTCGATGGCAAATAGTTTAAATATTAAATACTAAATATTTGATGCTCCCTCGGGAAGGAAAGGAAAGCAACTCGAGGACGCATGCACGATCATACCCTTGGTGAAGTTTAGATGAATGAGGAACACAACGAACGACCGTCGGTTTGGATGAAAGGTGGGCCAGCGCGGGTCCTGTGGACCCGGCGGAGCCCAACCGCCCAGCCGGCCCGGCCCGGCCCGGTCGAGGCCTCCGTTCTACCAGCCTTCTTCTTGCCTTTGTGTTATAGTTACACTATATCTCCCAATTATTCGCTCTGTTGCTTCGGCAACACAATTTTCTCTCTCTCGGCATCCGAGGTCCCTCGCCCTGCGCAAGTAAGCCCCAATTATCCTCCATAACATCCCCTGCCTTGTTGTTCCTGCCTTGTTGTTGATATTCCCCTCAGTGTTAAGCATGGGAGTAGAATGCGTGTCCAGACATGGTTTTTCAGGTTTTGCTTTATTGGTAGTTCAACTTCGCTGTTTCCTTGATCTTCTTTGGAAAGAATCGTAGTTGATCATTGTATGGATGGTAAGGGTGTCACAATTTTCTTTTGAAGGCGAGATGTGTCGACATGGTTGAGTGATTCATCCTTTCGCGTGCTCATTGAGCGCCATTTGCAGAATTTTGCTTGACAGGGGTGTGTTTGTGTATTGTGGTTTAGTTATCCGCGGATTAGGGTTGGAGTCTGTGGTGCAATTTCCGACCATGCGAATTTTCTACTCGTTTATCTGTGTCTGTGTGCTTGCAGTTGGCGTGTTTGTGTTTGGAGCTATTTTTTACTCATGTTTGACCACGCTCGTGTCTTCTGCTAATAACTCTTTCTGTTGTTGCGAGATTTGAATGTATTAAGCGCAGGAGTCTGTTTTAACTTGACTTGCGATCGGTTTTTTTTAAACATTGATGCAAGAAGGACGTTGCAGTGTGGGGTTTATGGTTTGACATATGTGTTGGGAATTTCGTCACGATGTGTGTACAGTCAAGTATGGGGTCTGATTCCATAGCGTTTCTTGGTTTGTTGCTGGATTCTATTCCTTTCTGACTGTCTCATAATGTGTCCTTTCTCTGTATAACACATCCCTATAGCATGTTATGCAGCAGTGGAACCAAGGATCCTCCAAAGGAGAATTTTATGCTGGCTATCCTATGAGATGCTCTAATCCACGGCCGGTTTGAAATTGTCATGTGAGGGAGGAGAAAGGGACAGGGCAGGGCTCCTGCTTCGTGCCTCCTCTTAGTGTTGTCATAGTTTACTAGAGGAGATAAAAGAGTTTTGGTTTTTCGTAGTAAGCTATTGCCTTGGATACGCCTGTAGGGGTATGCAGGTTGTGGTGGCGCAGAGTCTTTTCATTGCACTCTAAATGGCGCTCTTCTTTTTTTATCTCTTGATGTCAAAGATGGGTTTCACGTGTAATCTGTGTTTCTCGCTTTATTCTTCTCCTTTCTCCTTTCACGTGTAATCTGTGTTTCTTCCGCTTTATTCTTTTCCCAACCACTACGGACTGTCGACGATCTGCTCTCCTGAAGAAAGTATTGACAGTCGAATTTTCCTTTACTCGGAAATTTCACACAATTTGCCTAACAGAACTTAGATGAGTCCCATAAGATTTGTTTCTTGAAATATGTTATTGTGTCATAACCTTAATATTGACCTACGGTTGCAGATAATTAGGGTTCTAACCGATCTGATTGATTTAAGAGACATCAATACCTAGTTTTCTAATCATTGAAAACTTGCTTCTATGTGAATCTAATCAGGAATGGTTTTGTCCGAAATTGAGTTTGACAATCAGCTCTTGCTGCAGGAAAGGTTGTCGAGTAACAGTGAAGTTCGTCGATGTTAAGGTCTTCATTGTGAGAAAAAGATCCCTCAAGAGAATTCCCGGCTTTCCGGGACGCACTCTGAATTTAGGTCAATTTCGTACTAGGGTTAGAGAGGAAATGGGGCCAGAGTTGTAAAATCAGGATTGGAAAGGGACAAGCAGTGGGGGACTTGACAGAGTGATCAAGTGCGCGAGTGGCGCCGTGAGTTTCCTGGAGTGGCTGCATGGACTGTGTAGTAGAGCTGGAGAAGCACAAGACTGTTGATTCTTTACATTCGCCTTCAAGCCTGCGTATCAGCCGGGTTAGAGAGCAGCGGAAGTCTTTCGTAAGTTTTCCTCTGACGTAATTACCAAGGCAGGAATATTCTGCTGAAACGATCCAGACGCTTTAATAGCGAAGGACATATCTTCGCTCTGTTGTGCAGTTTTGATTTTTCTAGATTAATCGGGTACCTATGTTAGTTGAACACTGGAAGTATTAAATACTGGAAGATTCCAGCCCTTCTGCAATTTCTTGATGTTGCGTCTGGGAGAAGTTACAAGTTGTGAGTAGTCCTCATGGCAGGGTGCATCTCCGCGCCGGCGAAGTGCGTCCATCCGGCTGGTAGGTCGACATCCAGATGTGTATGAGCCCTGTGATGACTCCTTCGCTCTGGTTGATGCGTTGCTGGCCGACAAGGCAAACCTTGTGGAACGGCGTCCAAAACTTTGTCTGGAGGTTGGATGTGGCAGTGGTTATGTCATTACCTCACTAGCCTTGATCCTCGCAGATGAATGCCATGCTCAGTTTTTCGCTACGGACATCAGTCAGGTATTTTCATTCTCCTGTCGAGTTTGTTTGGTCAGTATATTGTGCACTCTGTAGTTAGGATATTCAATTAAATTCCTTATGTTGAAACTTTCACTTGAAGTCATTAATCCCAGCAGGATGAGGTTCTTTTGTGTTTAGGCGCGCTCCTTCAGTGATTGGTATTTATGCTACATATAGGTCCTTTGATTGCCCTCTGAGTTCCACCGTATATTAAGTTTTCCTGAAAATAGTCAGTACCTTTACATGGAATTTAAACCATCGAATTCTCGACAGACAGCCGCGCAGGTGACGCGTGAGACCTTATCAGCGCATGGACTCCAGGCTGACGTAGTAGTCACCGACTTGGTACATGGACTAGAGAAACGATTGGCTGGTTCAGTGGATGTTCTCTTGTTCAACCCTCCTTATGTTCCCACTCCTGAGCACGAGGTATGCTGGTCAATAGGATCCACGTTGCATTTATTGCATAAATATTTTAGGTTACCTAAGTAAATTTGTTTTCACTGGTGGTAAAGGTCATGTTGCTTCTGTTTCATCTTTTGGCGGCGTTGCCATTTCCTAGCATCATGTTATTGGAGATTTACTCTTATCCGCAATTGTCTTCTTGTATCAGGTGGGTGCGGCAGGCATAACTGCTACTTGGGCTGGTGGTGATAGGGGCAGAGTTGTAATTGACCGTATGCTGACAATGGTAGACAGTCTATTATCGAGTAAGGGTTGGTTCTATATGGTTACCTTGACAGCAAACAATCCAAGCGAGATTTGTCAGATTATGAAAAAGAAGGGCTTTGCATCACGAATTGTTATTCAGGTAATTTTGATGGCATCCTGACCTACTCGCAGTACGGGTTGGCCCATATTCTTGTTTCTAAATATGAACAGTGACGTAAGATAATTGTGTGTGTGTGTGTGTGTGTTTGCGCGTGCGTGCGTGCGTATATATATAAATAAATCTCAGTTTGTAGCGTTAGAAACTACTGTGAGCAGAGATTACTTAGTTGTTAAATGCACTTATTAAGTTCCAAATTGGATCAATTTGCAGCGATTCTTTTAGCATCGCACTTATAGTAAATACTAAGACCATTGTATGCTTAATATTCCTATGAGTGCAGCGTTATACAGAGGAAGAGAACTTACATGTACTGAAGTTCTGGAGAGAAGACCTTGCTTTTGATTATGATTACAACGCCGAAACAGGGGGTGGTGGTACTACACCTCAATCGTCACTTTCCTCAAAAATGTCTCGCCTTGCATTCTGGAGATAATTTCTTTTGGTAGTTAGTCTGGATGTGCACTTAGGATACATCCAAGTGTGTTTCATATTGTAGTGTGTGTTATTCCTATCCTTGGAAGTCTAGGATGTGATCTATGCTAGACAAAAGACCGGGTATTTTGTCCTCCCATTTATTGGCACAATGGGTCTACGGAATCCGTTTATCAGCGTGAATGATAGTTGTAGCACGGGCATCACCGCCTCTTCCTCTCACATGGCATATGTACAGGATTCTGTGTTGTCTTCAACGAAAACCAGTCCCACCATTTTAAGTAGCGGGTATGATTTTAGATAGTTTGTCGAATCCATGATGAAGTTTTTTAATCGGCTCTCCATGCCGCCAGAACCACAGTTGCACTCGTCAACATATGAGAGGAATGGTAAATTCCAGTCACGTTCAATCGTAGGTTGGAATCGAGGAAAGCCAAGTGGCAAACTTTGCAATGGGCACCAGGGAAGACACGAATCTTCTCACAGGGTGAATCGTGTCATCACAAATCATGTCCTTGATCTATTTTGTCCAACCACATTCATTGCATACATAAACCGTGTCCATCTTTGATACTGTCGGCACCATCCATATCCAAGTCATGCGTAGTCGCTACGTCATACCAAAACTCCAAAGAATTTCTGACGATACCAGTTGACACCAACACAATATAGAAAGCCTCCTCTTAATTTAATGTGGAAATTACTGTGGGGGAGAAATTCAATCCACGGGCAAAAGGAATAAACAACGTGTATGTGTCAGGTCAATAGTCTACCTACCACCATCTCCGGCTGTGAATCGACACCTCAGCCCCTTCGCATTCCGAAGTGGGGCCCGAGTCTGAAACCTCCTGGAACGATCGAGACATGCGACGGAAGGTGCACTCGAGGTGCGTGTCGGTGGGTGAGGCTGCGATCCCGTTGCTAACAACGGTCCAGGTGGACTTCTCGTTTGCTCTTCGTTGAACGCGGCCGAGTGTGAACATCAATGCCCTCAAACCGCGTCGCAGTTCTGGCCTATAATGCTCAAGCCCTAGCTTGGAACTGTGATGTTTTCGTTTGTCACTTGGATCTTTGTGTTTCGGGGTCTTCCGCTGTCTGTGTCGCGGTCTGAGCACTTCAGATACACACAGCTGACGCTGCCTTAATCGTGAGTTCTTGACATTCCATGAAAGATTTCAACGTGGGCTTTGAGTTTCACCGTAATTTTGAAGATGTCGAAGTGTTTGATGGGTGTTGGATCTCTCTTGGTTGACATGCGAAGCATTGATGGAGGATTAGTTTTCTTTTCTTTTCTTTTTGGGGTTATGGGTTTTAGGTTTCTGTAGGATATTGGTGCCTTGATTCTATATTTTGTGGGACTGAATAATTGTCATTATTGTCAGGTTTTGTTTTTGGTATCAGGTGGGCTCAACTTAGTGATTAGCCGAGCATTAGGATCTGATTAAGGTGTTGGAGGCTTGAAGGGTTTGTGAGAATGAGTGGTAATCCATATGCCCACTATGACAATCAAGGGGTGCCTGGAGGCGCTGCGGCGTATGGACAGGCTCATCCGACTTCGTCTCCTAGTGGATCCGGAAGAGGTATGCGATTTCTCCACCATGGTTTCCCTTGATCGCTGTTCCGTATCGTCTGCTTCAATTATAGCTGGCCGTTAAATTGTTCAGAAGTTTTCTGAAGTATTACGTAAACTACATTTGGGGACGATTTGAGCTGCCTTGCCGTATCGTTTTAACTTCCCTTTTTCTGCAAGGCTATAGCTTTCTTCAGCTGGAAGCCACCGCAGTACTCATCAGTGTTTTCCTGCAACTGGCTGTAAAAGCACCGTTTTGAGATTATGTGTCTTTGTTGGGAATGTTATTATTGGGTGAGAAGTCCCTCTTTTGTCCGTTTAACCCGTTGGATAATTAAAAAGCGTATAAATGTGTATCAATTGGTTTGATGGTATACTCAGGAGGTGCTATGGAATATTTGAACAAGTGGGGAAAACAGGCCGAGAGTATTGCAGGCAGCTTCTGGGGTCACAGTAAGTCAGGCTCAACTTAAAAAGCGGGTTTTAGGAGGTCTGTTCTTCTTTGATGAGCTCGAAAGGATTATTTCATCTTTATATTATTTTCTCTCATTTTTTTTTTTTTTTTGTTTGTTTTTTGGTCCGTATCACACGCTATCGATACGAGCAGTGCTATTTTTCGTGATGGAAAGGGGATTAATGTTTTTGACCAGTGGTGTAATTATGTTCCTTGCTTGGTTTGCAGTTAAGACAAGTAATTCTATCCCAGATACTGCTATTGGGAGGATAACTCATGGGACCAGGTTGCTGATGGAAGGGGGCTTTGAAGGCGTGTACAAACAAACATTCGGAAACTTTGTCCCAGGTGAAACGCTAAAAAAAACATACGCATGCCATCTTTCTACATCGAATGGTGCTGTCGGTGGCACGCTGTATATCACCAATAAAAAGTTTGCCTTCTGCAGTGACCGGGAGTTGACGTACTATCCCACCCCTGGCCAGGCGGCCTCCAGTTATTACAAGGTACCTTCGAACATATCCTTTTCAACTATGTGATAAGCTATCTACGTCAATTTTCTGGACATCTAACGTTAAATTCTTAAAAACTGCTACCTGATGGTGTTTTACTCCTTTCTCTTGAGCTGGATACATGTATATGAAGTCGTGACTAAATAATTATAACCCATCCGCAGGTTATCGTACCATTAGAGAATGTAAGGGAGGTTATATCAGTTGCGAACGCAAAGAAGCCAACTGATAAATACATTCAGGTGGTGACGACAGATGGACATGAGTTTTGGTACATGGGGTTCGTCAACTACGACAAGGGAATAAAGAATATGCAGGAGGCTGTCCGGTTGGCTCATAGCCACGGCAATTTCTCTGGGGGTTCAATGCCGGCCGGAGCAGTTCCGTATCCTCCTCCAATGAGTGGCACTTCCTCACCAGTATACCCTCCTCCGCCGGGTTACCCTAATGCGCCACAGCCACCGCCACCAGGGTACCCTCCAGCTGCAAAACCTGGATATCCTCCAGCTTAGTTTTCTAGTCAAGCCCTACACTAGAATTTGGATCAATGTAAAATTCTGTTGAGTCATAGGTATATAAGACTGTTGCTTAAATTTGCTTTTGTTCTAGTAAAGGTGAATGTATGACTTTCAGTAGATAAGGTAAATTCCAGATTGCTAGCAGATGTGCTCATGCCTGATGTTAATTTGCGTAACAGCTGGGATTGGAAGTCGATGTTGCTTCGATTAGACTCTGCTCACAATTTGCAGCATTGTGAACATGATGTAAACTATCAATTTACGCAATCGGATTCTCACAAGTCAGATGTGATTGGCAAAAGAGGGCAGTGCAATTTTTTGCTGGGGAAATGACAGGTGGGTAAGCCACCGTAGCGTAGCGTGCAGGGAAACTGTTCTCAATAGGAACCTATGCATGGTGCTCAAAATTCTGAAGTAATATGCGGCTCTTTCCATTGACATTCCAATGGTTGAAAATCTGTCAGTAGCTGGCGATATTTGTGTGAAAAGAACGGTTTCCGAATATGATCAATGTCATCATGTGCCGTTTTCCCTCTCAACAATGAGTGAAATAGCACCCTAGCAGAGTGTGAGTTGAGCCTACTTCCTACACTTAAATGAACCAATCTCTGAAACAAAAGTTATATTTAAGAAAAAACACACTGGGTAATTTTATAAGCACACAGGAGTACGGAGTATTACTAGCATGGTATCTTTGAATGTGAAAGAAATCAGTTTTGTCCACTTTGTAGAAATGTTCACACTAAAGTAATACTGACTTGCAATCAGTTGGATGATTATTTGTACTTGGGAAACGTGAATGTCAGGTATTCTAATTAAGGTTTGGGTGTCACACATGTCAAAAACAATACCGGATTGTTTCACTCTAAATATGAAGTTTCCTTTGATTACAACGAAAGTTGACACTACATTTCAACAAAACTCTGTATCCCATATAACCAATAAGGTTAAAAATTCATCACATGTCTTATTGAATGATCCATGTTTTATTTCACCACTAGAGCTGTTGCACGTTAGATCGTAAACTTCCAACTCTTTTGAATGTTTTGTTTTGTAATTTGTTAAATTGGAGTCCTTAAATTAAAAAATACAATCATTTAGTAAATGTATAATTATGAAGAAAAAGAGACATAGCAACTTTCATAATCTGTATTATTATTATTATTATTATTATTATTTTAACATGTTAAATTTAATTATTTACGAAGTTTAATTTCAACTGAAAAATAATAAAACAAAAATCCATTAACATATTTTAAAACTATCTCTCTTTTTACACACATATATATATACACACACACACACATATATATATACACACACACACACATATATATATATATATATATATATATTACACTAAAAATCTTTGTTTAGACCACATTAAGCAAATATCTAAGAGTGTATTTTGATAAAATTTTAAAATAAGAGTGAATGGTTCACATTTTCAAATCATGAAATAAAAAAGTCTTTTAAACTATGTTGGAACTTTTTATTTTTATTATTATTATCACAACTTTTATTTTATAAAATCTGTATGAAAGAATGTCCTATCATGATTTACATATCTAAAAAGTCCAGAATCTTAAATATGTGAGTTTGAAGTTTGGTTTCAATACTTGATGTGTATGCATGTGCACACAAGTTTAATGCATACAGCATAATATACAGAATAAAACTGGACATCTTTAAGGTTGAAGAAACTGCACACTATGACATAATTATGGAACATGGTAGCAGGACATCATATTAAGAGCCTTTATTTTTTAAAATGCATAAAGTGTTTTTTTTTTTTTTTTTCCAGTTAGATCTCATTGTAAGCTTCCTGTTGTTCTTGCAAGCAAAGTCAGATGTTTTCAGTTCTGTCTCAACAATCACCCTTCGTCACAAATTGTCCCCCTTCCAAACCGTGTGCCCTTCCACATTTGCAAAGTCCTCCACCACCATCTGAGCTTCTTCAAAGGTTGTAAGAGGCAAGAGATGGAGCTTCTAGCAACATCATGTTGCATGAACTTATGATCTCCATCTAATACCCTTCAAGCAAATTGATAGTGAGAAATAGAAGTCCATTCTTATTATCTCCAATCCCATCAACAACTACAAATGGAAACAAAATGAAAATACAAACTCACAAGTTACTCTGAAGCATGTACAGAATCTTTGATTGAGCATAGATCCGAAGTTGTGGACAACCCTCTAAATCAAATTGGTAGACAAGGATAACAACCTAAAGTGAAAAAATTGTTGAGATTGTAACCAATAGATGATATTGGTGTACAGCATCAAGGAGATGATATTAGTGTGCAAACTCCAACACCAAAGGATGATATTGGCAATGATAATTGGAAGTGAAAGCAATGAAAATTGAGGTGACAGGTTTAGTAGGTTAGAGTTGTATTTGATGTATGCTTGATCAAAGATTAAGGGGGAGGGAGGGAGGGTGATATCCCATTAACACATGGATGATGCCTTGCTATCATGTCTCATAATTATTAGTAACAATTATTTTACTCAAGGTATAGTCTAGTTTTAATGTGAAAAAAATAAAATATTCTAATATTCAAATATTTATTAAACTCCAATGACTATGCATTAAATTTCAAAGTTTGAGATGTATGTGACAGTCTTAGTACTGGCTTAATCCACCAATGAGGTGTTTTTTGTGTGTTTTCTCCTACATGTAATGGATAATTTGATAGAAAAATTTACGTACTCAAGAAGTAATTGGTCTATAGTTAACATTAAAAAGAATGTTAACTTTTTCTTTGAAATACATTCGATTTAGTTTTAAAAGACTATATTTGGAGATAATAGCATTTTGAATATATTTCAACTATTTTGGTTATATGGGTTCTAGGCAAATTAGACTTCCTCCATGGATGTTATGGTTTTAAAAATTGAAATTATAATTACATCCAGTAAAGTAAACAAACATAGCTTTAAGTGTATTGAAGTCAAAGCTTAGTAAGGTAGACCACGGCAACACAATAAACAGTACCACAGATTGGTAAGCTCTAATAAAACGAATCCGTGCAATCATGATCAAACAATAATGTAGGATTAACAGAATAGCTCCATATGAGATTCCCCGACAAATTTCAAGAAAGGAGTTGGTAGACCAGGGAAATACAATGAAGAGATTTAACCCTCGAAAGACCCCTCTGACACAAACATAAGATCGGGAGGGCTTGCACCACTCCAATGCTATACGAGGTGTTCTTTCTAATGTTATAATGCCAACACTGTCCCACTAAACATTTCAAGACTGCTACCATGAAAGTGCTCGACAATAAGACCTTGAGCCCTGGCATGATGACTAAACACCCATCGTGGTCGTGTTTTGTCTAGTTGCAACTCCTACAATGAACATTTTACAGCTCAATTGTCCTACACAATGCTGCAGGATTATCAAAGAATTGTTCAAGGGCTTCTCTTCGTTGGGGAAGCTGGGATCAAGTCATGGCCAGTGAGAGTGGTAGGCACTAAACTTGGATCCAGGCTATTGAGTTGGTCCATTAGCTGAGATCGACGCTCCTTGAAGAAGTCGAGGCGTGTTGTCAACTCGACTAAGGCTGCCGAAGCTGTCGCACTCTGCCTTGGTGGAGCTGATACTCTCGAACTGCCGCTCTGCACTCATTAAACCACCGAACCGTTGTTAGAATACGTAAAATGCATGACCAAACATTCTTAAAAGCCGGCAAGATGTTGATGCTCTCCACGACAAACCTCAATATCAGCATGAAGCCTCTTTCCACCCGAATGTTCCAAAGACTCCACATCATCTGAGAGGTTGAATGGATCTGGCTGGTTTCTCCAAGCAAATTGGCGGCCAGCGGCCGAGGGTCCTGCTGGAGGACGAAGTGTTCTCCAGCCGCTAACTCCTGACATTTCATGTGGGGGACTGGTTCGCCGCTGCATACTCGCGCCTCTAGCTCTTTCAGCAGCAAGAGCCTCCTGCGCAGAGTAACATCTTCGGTGAGGTCCGATTCAGCAGACAACGCACGAAAAACCATCACAACCTGTTACGCTGGGCATACGTTCCTACAATGTGAACCTTGCCTATACACCTACCTTGGCTTCTGCAAGTGCATTACGCTGTTGATTCACAAATTGCTCAAGAGCAGCTGCATCTTCGTGAGCGCCGCTACCTTCTATATTCTGTATTGGCGTAATGGAATTACCAAACCACATGATCCATCAGTCCAGAGAAAATTTTGATGTATAAAATTTTCTATTACATGTAGAATAGATCTACCAAAACAGAGGCAGTTCAGCATGGAAGACTATTTGAGAAACGTTACAGTTCCCGATCCAGTACAGGAACATATCACACCAGATAGAGGAAAACCAACCTCATTTTTCTGCTTCTCATGATGGCAAAGTGCTAGCGTGAGATCAAGCTCCTGTTGTAAAATTTTCCTACATTAACATTTGCGGCAAGCATGCGTCCATTCGACATCAGTCACAAGCATAAAATCATCATACAAATTGACATACATAGAGTTGCAACAAATTAGTTCCTTCTCCCACACAAGCGCTTACTGTTGAGCTTGAAGACTTTTGACGCGCTGCTGCCGCTCAGAAGAATCGGTAAGAGACAAGCCATGTTGCTGTTGACGTTGCTGATTTAGCTGTAAGTGAAGTTCGGCAACCTTTTGTTTCAACCTTGCAACATCGGCCTCTACAATAGCTATCTCCTCCACCTCGGCTCTTGTCTACAAAAATCCCCACGAAAATGAAAAACAATCACACAAACTGATGAACAATAACAACAACAACAACTACAACAAAGATAGGACCCACTGTTCCACAAAGATCAATGCAAAAAACCTATGATGGGTAAAATAAAATCAGAATGAAATACAAAAATATCAAATCACACCTTTGAATCCAGAGATTGGGCACCAGATAGCTGAGCAGCTGACATACTGAGCCCGACTTCCAAAGCAGCTCTCAAATCCCGCTCTGTTTGAAGCTGCTCCTGCAATCTTGCCACCTGAACAAAAAATAAAATAAAATAAAATAATTGTAAAAACCTGAATAAGGGCAAGGACAACGTGGCAACCTGCATTACAATAACTAATCTTGCAAGTCTTGAAATACACAAAGAAAATCATTTTCCTTGGTCAAAGGGTCTAGGATGGATACGCTTACATCTTGTTCAAGGGCCAGACGACGGTCATGTAAAGCTTGCTTTCTTCTTTCCAAGCTAGCTTGTAAAATTGCATTCCCTTTCGCCTGTTTATTCATAATGCCAAAATATAATAATGTGAATATTACATTTACACAAGCATTGTATCGAAGGGTAAAGTTTCTTCTGAATATGGAGCAGGATGATGCCCATTTAGAACCAGCTCAGAGTACATGCATCAAATACCAGGTTAGAAGCCTCAGTAACTGAATTATGTGCTGACTCAGGATGAATCGACTGTTTATCAGGACTTTCTATTCAGTTTCATATGTATCTTTCAGGAATATACCTCTTTAGCTATCCGGTTTCGCAAGTCAGTCCTCGTCACTTCCAAGCGATGTATAGCCAACCTACGGTACGAAGTCGAATTAAAAGGTGTCAACTGTGCGCGTACGTGAAAATTCATCGATGCGATGTGACAGGCTGCTCTCTGGAAACAAACACTAGCATGATATGTATCATACACTAACATGCATAACAAGAACTTACTCTTCTTCTCCAGATGAATCATTCACATCTGCATTAGCATTTTTGTTGGTTACCTGCATATTCAAAGCATTTGACGATAAGTACTCCTTGATGCAAGATCAATACATAGAGTTTTTTTTTTAAAATGAACCATGACCAAGTGTAATGGACAGTGATCAGATGGTCACATACAGATGTAAGACCCCATAGTGATGCTCGCTTGCTGCTGGAAGTTGAAGCCCGTTGTTTCAAACTAGGATTTGTACTACTCTTTTCAGATATCGGTGCGCTCGTGGGTGGAGATACTATCCCATCCCTCCACGGAGTCGAGCGACCTCGTCCCGTAATGTTTGAGTTGAACGCACCATTATCGATCGTAACTGAAGGTATATGATTCTGATCCTCACTTCCAAGTTGCACCGAGCGTGACCATGCTTTAGTACTTCCCTTAGGTCGTACAGTCGAGGAGCCGAAACCCCCTGAGCACTCATTGTCTGAATCCCCACCTTCAAATACCTATAGCCATGTAATTTCAATCAATTCAGTCGTAGAACCTAAATTGGATAATCGTTGGGACATTAATGTAAGACCACAAACTCCAGAAAGTAGAGATTGGCCAGGTATCTATAGGTATGATATACACGAATATAGACCAAAATTTGTGTAGTACTTAACAAAGCTTTCGAAACTAAGAAAGGATAGTCGGGCAACCACGTAGCCATCAACCAAATCTTTCGAGAACCACACAGATGAAAAAAATAATAGCCATAGTCTTGCTCGCACAGCATTTGATAGTAGCAGTGTCCTCTTCACAAACTTTTTGAGGGACGTCGCACCTTATAGTCGAACACATCACTGCCAAGGTTGCCACTACTTTCACTAAGAGTGCCTGAAAGAGCGCGTTCAATGAACTCATCACCATCTTCTTGTAAATCATTAGCTGCATCATGAAAGTTCCCTTCGCCTTCATTCATTACGCGTGATGCTTCATCATCTTCTTCATCAGATGAGCCCTCTGTTTCACTGGCCTCCAGCGTTCCATAAATTTGTGGGGAAGGTGGAGCACGATGTAAACCGTAATCCTGTCATAATATCAATCCCGGTGTCATTAACAAGATCATGCATGGCATGTATACAATTTCAGCACAAGCGTGAAAATTCAGCAAAAGCACTTAGATTATTGCATCGCACGTCAAGAATATGAAGGTCCAACAAGGCAATATCTCCCTACTCACTTCAAAGATGTGATCGTATTCCTCCAGTAGCGTTGTGACAATGGATTGGGCATTGTTAGCAGCAGCAGTAGCTGCTAGGAGCTGAGAGGCATTATCTGGACTGACTTCAGACTCGTCTTCCAGTCCACATTCACCAGCCAATAAGGGACGCAACAAAAGTGGAGCCATACACGCGGCGACAGCTGATGCCGTCATTCGATTGTTGTCTGTGTGTGCTGATACTGCTCGCATCATCCTCAAAATTCTGAAAGGCAAATTCTTGCGTAAAAAACAGCTCATCAGGGATAAAGAAGTAAACACAAGCAACACACGTCCAATTTATTAAAACAAACAGTAAAATGAAACTCCATGGTTCGTCGTCTTATAATTACAGGGTTAGAGTAGTCAGCATCACTGCATGACCGGCATCGAAGTAGAGATGTATGATTAATTTTGTTACCATGAACGTCAGATTCCAGCAATACGATCCAGCCACTACACGTTTATGAACTGTTTCTGCCTAAGCAACTTTTGTTTTTTCTTTTGATCTTCCCAGTCGTAAATGCTTTAAACGAATACAGGACTGCACAAACCTTTGAAGCAGTCGCCGATTGGGATCTGGAAATGAATCAGTCACAGCTGATTTCATGGACGAGATGCGAGTTCCTTTTCCTTCCACCCCTGTTCATAATTTGGGTTGTTTAAACGTACAAGCAGAAATAGTTAGGACTATTTCGCATGCCCATCCCCAGCTCAATTGAACCACATCGAAGTCCAAAGATATGATATACAGTCATCCTCCCCAACGACTACAGATAGATTTTTAAATGAATAATGTTACAAGATAATTGAACAAGTATCAAATAAAAAACTACCAGATGCTTTAGAGTGTAGGAAATTTAGGAACCAAAGGGCATAAACTATGAAAAAAAATTACACTTTCAAAAGCAAATAACATGACATATATATATTGAAGAAAAAATATGAAGGATAAACATGCTCAGTGTGTTATTTACCATCACACCAAGAGGACAAGCTTAATAAAGAGAATGGAACAAAGAATAGACATAGGGTAAACGGATTTACTATTAGCCTCCAGAAGAGCAGTGCAGCATGGTGTAGGAACTGGCGATGACGGTAGCTCCCTGAGAACATGCTGCACTCGGCAATTAACCAAACGACAGTAAATTATATTAAAACTAAACATTGAAATACTCTGAACCCACAACAAGATTTCGGTGGAAAAACTACAACTGATTTCTGGTGCACTTGAGTTTTTTTTATTTGTAGTTGGTTCCATCGACAGCTTAAGACTAAGCCAGGCGAATCATAAACTGTTCCTAATTAACCAAAGGAATTAGTTACAAATTTAGGACCTAATGCAAGGTCACCAAAAGATGTTCCAGGTCGGGTTTCCGAGTTTGTCGTCAACATTTAATTTCAGATCGATTAAGGTTGGTTAGAAGTGTGACCATTAAGGAACTATTTCTTTGAATGCATAACTACCAACAAACAAAGTTTTCTAACAAATAATATATCCTAATATATAAAATCCTAAAAATAACATCGAGTTAAGTTATGTAGAAGCTCAACCTTGATGCAATCGCCAATGACATGTGCATCTTCATCTGGCGAAAACTGATTTCGCCCTGCGTGCGTAAAAAGCATGATACGTTTAGTCATGTTTAAAATGTTCTCACTAATCCTCGAAGTCACCTATGCATTAATCCAAAGAAAAGAAAAAAGTAGAGGAACGAAAATACACCTTGTTCATATTCACGCACACGCCGTTCAACATCTTCAACATCTGCGGACTGTCGCAAGATTCCTTCGACGCCAACGCCTGTTGATACGAATAAAGACACTAAAATTAGTGCCATTCAATCGTGACTTCCACAGCAATTGGAATAATAGATACACCTATGCGGATTGCATTTAAGTATGCTCAACGGAGGGATGTCATACCGTAGGTTTCAATAAAAGTAAGGGCTTTCTCCAGAAAAGAAGGACTTCCGTCAATATCTTCCAAAGCTAGTAAAATTGGTCTGCCAATGACCACCGATTTTACTTGACGCCGGTTACTTCCTGCAAAAGGGCCAATCATAATATTGGATACAAAAGATGTCTTTTCTTGCCCCAAACATTGGAAAGAAAAGATATTATGTTCCATATTTGAAACTTCTTAATGTGACATTCAATTTCAATTTTTAAATGAAATATTTAAAATCGTGTACAAAGTACACAACTTTGTAAATTATTTCTTTGAATCTGCACTGATAAGGTTGGATATAAGCTAGGATTAGTGCACATAGGCTTTCGTAAAATCCAAGGAGTCGAGCGTTTACCCTTCCATATGTATCGATATAGGAAGCGAAAAAACATTTGTTGAATGACTAGAAATTCTGAACCGAAAAATTGCGCATTTGGGGACCTTTTAATAGTTATATACGATCATGAAAATGTGACTTATGAAAGAAACATAGAAAGAGTATAGACCTTCGACTGGTCGCCTGAAACCATGGTGTTTCCCCAGTTTACCTTGCTCTGATGATCCATCGATAGACTCAAGAACTTCAGTTTGGAAACTCGGGCTGTTACTCAATGTTGACGCATTTGGTGCTGCCTGAAGAGCTCGTTCCAAGGCGTCCTTCCATTCATCCACGTCTTCAACTGTTTCCGCCTACATTCATATAAGCATGCAGACACAACAGTTAGAATGAATTGGACTAGAACTGTGCTGAATTTTACTACCAAAACGTAGGCAATTACAAAAGCCATCTTCGACATGTCTCTAATTGATAGATTGAAATGTCTGCAATTTTCATTCGTAGACCTGCCAGAGTAGAACTACGAACTTCAAAAGGGCAATACCTAATAAGTGAATATACTTTACACGACTTCTGAACTTATCAGCAAAATGTGTCATGTTTTCTTGCTCATTGCGACACTGAAAATACTGTAAAGAAACGAATCTCATATCCTAAGTAAAATAGTATAAGTGATACCTTTCATTACGAATAGAACTCGGCTACCATCTGCTCCTCAAGGATATGAGCTAAATCAAAATTAAATTAAAAAATAAATATATAAAACAGGAAGGAGGGAAGGAGGGAAGGAGGGACGAGGAGGAAAAAGAAGCAAAAGAAGAAGTGAAAAGAACCTCCAGGATTTATCACCTTCAAGGTAAAAGCCCTTCCATCGGGAAATAGAACTGTCAGCAATTTTTTCTCCGCTCGAACGAGTACACTGCTCACACGCCCACTATTAATGCAAAAAACACCGAAAATTGCCCATACAGGTCAATCATACCGAAACATAGTAAGAGTGTAGACCTTCGATATAATCGATCAATCATACCGCTCAAATCTTAAGGTTAAAACGGTCAGATAAAAGACATTTCTTTCCAGACAATCACGGTATTTAAAAGCACTGAACTAGATAAACTCAAGCCGAAATGTGATCGATTATTACAGCATAACCCACCCAAGAAAAGTTCTCGAACCAAAAGTTAGAAAACCATAAGTATCAGACTAGATAAAAATTGCTCACCTGCCAGAATTGTTTAAGTCAATACCTCCAAGAGTCAGGTTCATGTCACCCCCTTTCGCGGGGTACGTACTCTGCACATGCTTCCCAAATAAAAACAAATAAGGCTAGTACAAAACGGCGTGCTTCGAAAGTAAATGTAGTGAATACCATTTAGTAACAGAAAAGAGAAGGATTGAGGACAAAGTTATTTTTAAGATATGTATTTAGACAATCTGCTGAAAAAATGAACCAAAACTAGCTTAAAACTCTTCTAACAGTCCAGTTCAACAGTGCGACACATATCACTCAATTTCACTGAAGAATTCCTTACCCACTATCTCAACAAGGAAGAATTTATGTTTGGGAGCCTTTTACTCCTGAGCTCTTATTGGATTTAAGTTGGGAAATGTTTCATTTTTTATTGATCGCATGTTCTCCCATATCACTTGGGTGGAGACCCTGTTGCAGTACTGTCTAGCGTGGATAGGTATAAAATTAAGTGCAACAGTGTCCCAAAGTTAACATTATCCCCATCCCCCCCCCAATTAATTAATTAATTGATTGATTGATTGATATATTCAAATGCTGTTAATGAGGATTGGTCAAATAAGCACCACGGCGACGGCACAATGAATGTAAACCTAACTGTAATAGTTCTGTATGGTCATTTAGAGCTAGAATATGCAGGAAAAAAAAAGTGAGAGCGACAGTATACTAACCGGATCATTTTTGAAAAACACCAGAGATGTACGGGTAAGGATGAACCATCGTCGCTTCCACGACTTCCAACCTAGACCTGAATAACCCACAAAAACAGCTCATCACGATAACTAGATTTCATGAAGATCTAATAAGCGCTACAAGATTTGAGAAAAAAATGTGACAGACCCGCATCCAAACAATTCCAACCACAAATTGGAACTACAAAAACGGAAAATCTCTGAACTTCACCAGGATTCATATGCAAAGGAGAGAATGGTAGAACGGATTAGGCGTATAGAAGAATGTGCTCATATCAAAAGGCGGTGAAAGCAAGAAACAAAAACGAGTCTCTGAATAAAATATGAAGTAGAGAACGTGATATACCTTTCGATGAAATATAAAGTGGTCCGCTCTTGTAAACCTGAAAAAGAAATCTAGTTAAAAAAGCATGAAACTTCAAGAAAAATTGGATTTTCTCTGACAGGGCTGCACGGGACTAGGAATACTAGAAGCCCTAATCGTTTTGCAAAAGCGACCATACAGATTCAAATTCTCTCATCAATAAATCTCCCCGCATATCCCTCTGTTGCCATTGAGGGTTCCCTCCACTTATCAAGCCAACAAGATTTTCTACTTGTTTCTAAGTGGTCGCACAAGACCGAGTTTGGAGATAGTCCGTAGAACTTGGGTTTCAAAAAAAGTCTCTTCCTTTCAAGCCCAATTACTTAAAAAAGAATTGTGACCAATATCTTTTATACGCGCAAGTCCCACATTCCAGTGAAAAACTAAAGCACCCATCCAAATCACACATTGCAGCGTCTCGTAGCATCACTGCTCAGGAACCTAACCTAATCTGTCCCTCGTCCTAGATCTACAATGGCCCAGCACCAGTCCCAGGGCGTACACATTGTACCCTAATAGGACGACCGGATGAAACAAGTAACTTATTCAGATCAGATCCATCGAGAATAAGCAGAGGTGGCCCGCTGGAACGCCCTGATCTTCACCACCTTTGTACTAATACTTAATTACTCGTTACGCCACAGAATGGTCAGCAGGTGGTTTGCAGTGAACAAAATGCGAACTCACCAAGTTATTGCTGCGGTTACTAGTTCTTGCTGGTCGGTCGAACGGTGCAGGACTCACTGCAGCTGACATTTCTGCATACGTCTGCCTTCTATATGTGGCTTGAGAACACGATGCACTCCCTACTCCTGTTACCTCCGTCAAACCCCAAGAACTGGGTCATTTGCAGCTCTTCTAACTACCAACAACACTACATCCTTCTCCACGGCACCTCGACCTGCTTTATCCGATACCAATGAGCATAATCAAAAGCCATGCTCGGCACCACCACCCGCGCGGCCTCTGTATTCCAGCTCCACCTAAAATGTCTGATCTGTGCCTGCATTAGCACAACCTACCGAAGCACATGGCAACAACTCACAATCCTAGTACACGCACTCTCGCCCTACGCCAAAGCTCCCCGCCATTCTCTCTAACCCACAACACACACACACACACACAAATGTGCCGCTCCGTGTCCGAAAAAATCGCTTTCCAGCATCAGAAAAATCAAAATCCTCTCGACATTGTCTCCACATTCAGCAACCTCCGGCGATCATAATCCCATTCCCATCCCATGCATACATTACCACCATCTCACAGCCCCCCATTCTCTTCCCCTTCCCCTTCCCTGCCTTCTCACCGCGTGCGGACACCACACCTCTCTCCAGCCGAAACCTCTTCACCAACCCCGCCCCAACCTCACCATCATCATCATCATCGCTCCTGCACCGCCATCTCCACAAAAACCTCACAACAATTCCAACGCCAGATGTGTCTGCCTCCCCGAAGCGGATCTAAAACCCTGGCACGCGATGGTAGAAACCGCTCTTTCTTCCAGCCATGGCAACAACACCCTCGAAGATGGGAACAAGCAAGCAAGCGAGCAATCCAGCATGAGAAGAGGCAACCAACGGGGGTGGGGGGAATGAAACACGATTTGAAAGCTGAGATCTGGGCATTCGGGAGGGCATTGGCGTTGGAGTTGGCGATCTAGCGATGAGATTGCGGCACTTCGGGGGGTGGCGATTTGCCATCACGCTCTCCCTCCCCTCCCCCAAAAGAGTAAGACTCCCTCCCCCAAGCCTCTGCGGGGCTCAGGCTCGGAGATGAACTTCATCCACGAAGGTGATGCCGGTGGCACGGGGGGGGGGCAGTCCTACTACACTTACTGCTCTACAGCCTCGACTCTGCCCCTCCCCCCCCCTCACTCCGTGACTTCCGACCCCTTCTCCGACCCTGTGAACATGGCCCTCTTGCTCCACTCCCGCTGCTCCACCTGGATCCCGAGGCTTGGCAGTTCGTTTGTGACGCAGGCGCGGCTTCTTGCCCCTTGTACGGGGAACCTATCGCCGTCCGCCTTTACGCAGCCCGGCTCGGACACACCCCCCCCCTCCCCCGCGATTTCCATCGTTGGTTTGGATGAATGTAGGGTTCCGTCTTCCCCCAGTTGATGCCGTGCTCTTGTTGACGAATGCTGATCTGCCATCCGTTATGTCGTCATCCGTATTCCTTTTGCGAATCTGGATGGTGGGTGGATGAAGATTGGATGAATAGTTCGTCAGCTATTGGTGGATGGATGGATGCATGATGGAATATATATATTTTTGTTGAACATTGTTTTGGCATGGAATACATTCTTGGGCATTAATCCACAATGTGGGGGTGTTGTTGCTTATTACTTTGATGTTGTGAATACAGTACCAATCCAAAATGACTTTGTATGGAAGAACCTCATAGTTAATAAACATGTTGCAATTTTTGATAGAGTTTTGGTAAGTGGGTAACCCCTGACACTCTTATTCATTTTAGTTCAATTGAGAATGGTATGTAATATATCAATTGTTGTTAAATATTCTTTTTTTCCAAATACATTTAAGAATTCAAACTGATCAGCATGACCAATGCATGGAATTGGGTGCCAGAGATTGCAAATCACATCAGAATTTGTAAAATTTGTAACTTGCGTTTGAAAGTGTTTAGAATAAATAATAAAAATTAAAAGCTAGAAAATTAATTTTTAAAAATAAGTAACACAATCAGTTTAAATAATTAAGATATTAAAGCAAATTAAATTAAGTGGCATCTTTAGAGAGTAAAAGCAAATAGGTGAATCCATTGTTCTAAGTTGAACTTGAGCATTGATTGACATACACTCCACACATTGGTGTGATAAAGAAGTCATGTGCAATTCAACAACTCTTGCATGACTTTATGATCTTACAGACCAGATAGATTCATTATTTCATCAATTAGTATGTCAATGATTACAAAAAAAAAAAAAAAAAAAAAAAAAAATGTAAAAAAAAAAAAAACAAACAAAACAAAACAAACAAGCATAAGAATAAACTAATCAAGCCAGGAAATCAGAAATTCCTAGTAATCTTGGATGAAAAATATCTCACCCAAATGACCTGAAGCCATCTGGTGTGAAGAAAGTTGCCACAAAAAAACAGTTGGGATATGGATGAAAAGCACAAGACTATTCAAAAACGGAGCAGAAGAGTGATTGAGAGTAAGAGTACCCTTGAATAGTGTGGGTGGAATGATGGGCAAGGTCGAGGACAGCAAGTGGACTCCAACAGATTGCTGGCTTGTTTCTGTCTTCTTCTGTCCCTTATCACATCACACCTCCTCCTCATTCATTCATTCCCCACACAGCCAGCCTCGACACTACGTGTCATAGAAACCTCCTTATTCAATCGGCTGGCTCAAGACATCCAGGCCATTAGATTTTTAGATTGAATCCTGGTCGTTGCAGGGTCTATTAGGAACTCATGGAGAACACAGAGGGCAGACAGAGGATCTCAAGGAAAAACTGGCAGCACGAGCAGGGGAGCGAACAGGGAGTGTGAAGGGAGCAAGGAAGGGAATATGGTGGGGCAAGAAAGGGAGCACAAGGAAAGCGCCGGGGACGGGTAGCGCATGGAAACTGTGGAAGATGGGGATTGCACAAGGAATGTGGGAGAACTGGCTGAGCACACGGCCTTGCAGGGGGAGGGTGCCCGCAAGTCCCAGCCACCCTCTCCTCGCAACCCTCTCCTCGCAACCCTCTTCTCGCATCAGTAGTGCTACTATGCGACTCAACAAAATAAAATGTGTCTTGAAAGTCGCTCAGTGGAGTGCGATGGGGAGGCTTGCCGAATCCTACATAGAGTATTAAGAGGGGAGTAGCTAACCCTCATAGAGAATGGTGGTGGCAATCACAACAAAGGGAAAAATGGGTAGTGATTGTCACCACCAATACATGGTTTCGTGTGAAAAGGATGGAAGTAATAAAAATGGGCATGAATGGTCTTTAATCTTAGCAATATTTCTTCAAATCATGAAATTGATTTCAACTTCCTACGGCTTTTAGATAATAAACGAGAAGAAGATGAATATGACATGGAAGTGGTTTAAGACCAAGAATTGGACCTTCAAGCATTTATTCTTGATAGATATTATTGCTTTAAATGTGAATTGGAAGAATACTTAATTCAATGGTTGAAGAAAGATGTGACAACTACCACACTTGAGACTATTATTTAATTAGATGTTAATTTTGTTCATGAAGAAGAACCTACAATTGAAGTGTTCCATATACCTATTTTTAAAAAATAGAGAATTCTTAGAAATGGTTTTGAGATACTTAAGTTGCCTAATAGTGAAGATCAATTATTTAATAAAAAACATCTAAGCATTGTTATTCTATACATTGACAAATAGACATCAATAGTTTGGAATGGACATTGCACATGAGGATGTCATATTCTAGATTCAAAAATGGATAGTAGAAGAGATCAAATATGGAATTTCAAGGGCTTACATTACCAAAGTCATTAAGACTTGTATTGAGTGTCAATTTAGAAAAGCTAGATTTGAAAGAGTAATGCATTCACAAGCTCAACAATTTTGACAATATACACAATATCATATAATTCCTTGCATCAAATAAGAATAATTTATGAATAATTTAAAGGTCAAACATGTGTTGATATTGAAATTAATCCATCAATATCAAAGAAAGACACCTTATGTCTCAAAAGTGATAGTCTTTGTGTGCCATCCACAACAAAAGTTTTATAGCAAGGATATTGATTCAATTAACAATATTTATAACCTAAGATAATAATTGTCTAAAAAATATGTGGGATGTAAGTTTTTTATAAGAATTATATATCTAGAGGATGAAAGAAAAGATATTGAAGTTTATACCAATTCAAGTTATAATGGCTACAATCTTAGATTAAAGAAGGATTCTTATTTTTTACTTTTTCATCTAAGTATAATTAACAAATATATTAAGATATTAAATGAACTTAATAACATCAAATTTGTCTTAAAATATTCAAGGAGATATAAAGACATTTTAAGACAAAAAACTTCATTGCATGAACAATGAATATTTTATTTTTTTAGATCCAAAAGAAACATCAAACCTATCATATTATCTTCAAATAAAAGAAAGATGCAGTAAAGATGACTATGAAGTGGTAAGAAATTAGTCCCTAAATAGGTGAAAAATACAAAAGTAATTTTCTATCAATCTTATGATTTAAAGAATCGAATAATGGAGAAGTAGCTATTTATATTAGTGATGTATATAAAAGATATGTTTTAAAAAATAAAAGATATTACATTAAATTTGGCATGGATTATGGACTAATATTTAAGACCAACCAATGGAATATGCTATTATATATTGGAATATTTTCCAATATAATGGGATTGAGGATGCTAATTTTTTTAATACTTTGCAACACTGACAAAGTATAAAAAAAATGGCCAAAATATGGCCAAAATAGTCTAGGTTATATTGCTATGGATATGCCAATATAACTAATCTTGTAGAACGCATGTACAAAAATGTATAATATATATTTTTAAATGGAAAGGTGAATTGATGACTTGATGAACTTATCATTGCATTGATAGGCAAGTCAGGTATATAACATTATTTTAGAGGGATTACTTTGGTGTAATACTACAATGATGTCTATATATTGAGTGAATTAGAGAAGTATTCTTTAAGAGGTAGAGACAAACAAAAAATATTAAGGTTGCAAAGAATTAAGTGGTTGATTGAACATTACAAACAAGACCAATTGTCAAATTTGGGAGTTGTTGATGCATGCTCCATGGAGTTTGCCTTTCAAAGCCAATATATTCTAATAAAATAGTATATTATTAGTTTATCTTAAAAATGGTATAAATGCAATTATTATGGTTTCATCTATAAACACATGTGGACTACGAGATGGATTATTAATGAAGAATATCCACATATGTTAGATTTATTACTAAATGCATATAAAGATAGTGACTTCTTCAATTGAAAATAAGATGTTCCTGATGATGGCCCGAATAACAAATCATATGATGATCCAAGCAATGGAGTTTAAAGTTTTAGGTATGATGTTCAAGTCTGCAAGTTATTTGAGATAACTAGTTTAATGACACCAAATAAGATGGAAGCCTTAACTATAAAACAATATGATATGTTCAATAAAGCAACAAAATTAAACTTAGTACTTTTATGAGGTACAAGTAACTTATTACCAAGACTCCTATAAATTCCTGTGCCAAGCAAAGGTGGTAATATCATCCTAATACAAGCTAATGTTACAAGTACTAGTCTTAGATTTGAAATCCAAAAAAAAAAAAAAAAAAAAAAAATTGGATAATGAAAAAGGATATGGCACAAAGAATCTAATAGCACCAAAACTTGGTGGACTCAAAGTTTTATAAGAAAGATAAGGAGTTGTTCAAAAAAAGAGTACACAAGTGAGACTACCTAAGTTTTGCAAAAAAACATATTCAAAGTGTAGTGATCTAAACATTTTTTGTACTGGAATCACCAAAACTAAGTGCATAAATTACCAATACATGATTGTAAAAGAAAATAATAATGTTGCATAGGATAAAGAAGGATGCAATGTTGACCAAGATATAGAATTTTTCTTCAAAATTTTTGACTTTTATTAAGAATGTGGATGCAAAATTTGGTACTTTATATAAGGATTTGATGATAGTTCATATGTAATATTTACTATTATAT